TTTGTGAAAACTGATTCATTCAAAGTAATTAACACTTGAATGTGTGCAATGATACCTCTTTTCTGACATTTTCTAATTCACAGACATGTTCCCTAATGGTCTTTTATCTAGTGCCTGGGTAGCATAATGTGACTGGGATAAAATGTCAGTTATTCTGCAAGTGTTATTACTATTCTTTGTAATTGAATCACATTTTTTATGTCTTGATATGTTTATTTAGTTAACCACTCATTATATACTTAATTCTGGGAGATAATTTCACTTAACCCTACCATATGATTTATTTTGGCTGTGGATGTTAGATAAAATATGACAAACATGTTAGGCCTACGTCTATATAGTTTTTAAGTTTTTTGAATATAATGCTTATTGTACTTGCTCAATTTGAATTTTTAGCTGATGTATACAGATAAGGCTGTTTCTGCCTTTGTTATATTTCTCGGCAGGATGTGCAGGGTGTAAGAAATCAGTTAAGCTGACCTGCCAGTCTTGCTTGTGGGGTATCTCCTTTTCTTCTTAGATTTTTATTTTATAAGAATGTTGCCAAAATATTATTTTTCTTCTTTCATTTAGCGTTTGGACCATAAAGGATACATTAGTTAAAGTCAAGCTATTGGCAGTTTTTGTGAATAAATTTTTATATAGTCATTGTGAGATTTTACTTCTGTTATAAATGCATTACTAGTAAAAAATAAAAAGTCAATGTTTAAAGCTCTAATAAAAGCAAGCTTATTTTTATGTGATCCCTAAGAAATTCCTCCTTTCACACTTTCCTGTTTTTATACAGGTCCTCATGCCGATACCGCCAGCGGATGCCAGAATTTGCAGTGTGGTTTTCGAGCCTGCTGCCGCTCTGGCGAATGACCCTTGACTTCTGACCTTTGTCGACTTCATTTAGCTGAGCAGGCTTCCTTTCATGCACTTTACTTGTAGCACATTTCTTGTGTTAACCATCCCTTTTGGAGTGTGACTTGTTTTGGCCCTATTCCTTACAGCCTCAGAAATCTTAAAATTTACCAGTGAATTATATGTACAGTGTCGTTTCTCTTGCAAATCATATTTTTGTTTTAGAAAGGGATTAGGTCTTTTCATGAGGATGAGAACAGTTTTATCAGATTTCTTTTAATTTGAATGCTTTGAAAATAATGTCACTAATGCCTTGCCATTTAAAGTATTTTTTAGATTATTTTGAGTTTTAAGGTCAGTGGGGTTACTGGTTCCTTTCTATGTAAACACTGTAGCAAGCTTTGCAGATCTTTTCAGACAGACACTTCTGAAGTGTTATTTTCAAAGACTGCACATTTTGGAAACTAACCTGTTTTCCATCATATCTCCTTTATTTGAACGATTCTCCGAAGGCCGATTCAAACATACCCACATGTAAGACTCTAAGATTCTAGAATAAACTGGCTCCGTGGTGGTAGCCCAGGGAGCTAGCAGCGCACCAGTTTACTTGTATTTGCTTCTTAAAGAGCCCTGGTTCCCACTGCTGTCCCTCATTGTCAGATTTGGAGGGAGATTTTTAGAAATTCCACAATCATTTGAAGAAATGTATAAATAAAATCTACTTTGAGGACTTTAACAAGAAATGTCTTTTGTGTCTTGATTTTATTATAAATCTCAGTGCAGGTTTACTTTAATGTTAAATAAGGACTAAATGTTTTAGCTCCCATGAAATCCTAGCCTTGATAAACAGTTTTAGACAGATAACTAATTTTGTTGAGCTGAATTTTTAAAAAATCATCTAGTCAAAATTTGAATTTGAAAGCTTATTGTCATTGCCATGTGGAGACCTGCCATTCAGAAAGGTACATACATATGTGTCCATGTTTTATAGTGCGATATAGAATTCTACGTCACGGAGGAGTGGAGTGGGCAGCATGCACCACACTGCAGAGCTGGGAGGAGCAAGTCGGCGCGGGGTCCTGTCGTTTGTTGTCCCGGGGCTTGTTTTATTGGGGGCTGGGAGGACTAGGAGAGAGACTATAGGCAGACAGGTTTCAGTTCAGGCTAAGAGAAAACTTTAGACAAAGGTCTGTGAAGATGAAAGAAGAATCATTTGATGGGCATATAAATAAGGAGAATTCACACATGCTTTTAAATTTCACTAACATTTGAATCAAACACTCTAAGGGAAGATCAGCTCTCAAAGGTAGATATCTAATGACTGAAAGTTTACCTTTCTCTAAGGGTTCTCTCATTTTGGTTCCATTCCTGTTAACATTTGCAAAATAAATGATGGACCCACCACAAGTTTCTTGCAGGGCGGCTGTGTGAGCAGACCATCTTTCTGAGTTTGTAGCTCTTAAACTTAAGTTGTATGTCTTTCGTAGTACTGCTTATGCCTTGGCTTGTCCTTTAACGTCTGGTCTAACCACGTGTAAAACTACTCGATTCCCTTACAGAACTTCAAATCTGAGCTTACCGAACAGTTACAGGGTCAGAAGTTTTATTTTGTAAGGTTGACTTTGGTAGTTATTTTTATTTCTCTAGATGTTTTATAAAGTTTATTTGAAAAGTTCATGTCAGGGACTATTTCAAGAAAACAAACTACAGGAATTTTTCTGCAGTGAGTGCCATCCAACCCTGTACTTTGTCTTATCTGTAGTTACATGAACTGCATGGTAAAATGACTCATCTGTAACCATGCCTGGGTCACCAAGGGAGGACTAAAGTTTATCTTCCTTTTAATCAGAAGACGGCATAACATTTTGGGTGGAAAGTTATGATATAATATTTATGTAAAATATCATGATTAAATAGTGTTTCAGGACTTGGCTCTAAATGTTATCCTTTTAAATTAATTAATTTGAGCAGCTAATTCCCCCAGGGGTTCCAGGTAATTGAGGTGTCTCCCTTTTGCTTTGTCCTATGCTGCTTGATGTTAGCAAACCATTAAATAGGAGTTGGCAGGCTTGACCCAAACTCACTTCATGTCAGCACTTGTCATGTGGGAACTGTTTTTCTGCTATCCACCTTCCCTCCAACTGCAGGGGGAGGTAGCATAATCTGCATTTAATTTTTATACGTTGTCGCTGTTCCATTAACTTGAGGGGATGGTTAATGTTTAATGATATACTTGGATTTTGTGATTGATTTCATGAACTATCGGAACTGCTCATTCTTAGAATATAAGGCAACGGTTAATGTCAAGTGCTGTGTGGTCCCTGACAGACATCAGGTGCTCGGAGCTGGGTAGTGTCCTCAGTACAGTAGACCCTTGAACAGCTTGGGTTTCCATTGTGCTGGTCCACTTATACACGGTTTGTGGGGTTTTTTGTTTTTTTTTTCAGTAAATACCTCTACTGTTTTTGAGCCACAGTTGGGAGTCCGTGGATGTAGAGAGCCAAGTGTACGCAATGATGTACGCCATTTTACATAAGGGACTTAAACATCTGGGTCTGGGTGTTTGTGGGGGTGTCCTGGAACTAGTCCCCGGAGGATACCTTGGGACAACTAAGGTGTTTGGGAGCCAAAGGTTATGTGTGAATTTTTTTGTGGTGCCCCAACCGTGTTGTTCCAGGGTCAGCTGTATTTTACATGTACCGACTTGTTTAGTTACAACAATGAAGTAGGTAATGTGATCATCACCACCTTTTATAGGAGGAAAATAAGGAACAGGTTAAGTAACTTGTCCAAGGATTCCCAGCTAGTAAGTGGCAGAACGAGGCTTTCTCCAAAGCGCATGCTCTGAACTGCGATGCTGGTCTGTCTCTATATTGTTACACTGATAGTGACTAAGGGGCCAGTCTGTGAACTCTCCCTTTGGTTCAGAGGTTCAGAGGCATGTAAACACTTTACTGTAGATCCTGTTCCAGGTACATCAGTTGCTCGAAGCTAGAGGCGGTTTACATCACCAAGGACATCAGGCAATGCCTGGGAACATTTGTGGTTGTCAGCATTTTGCAGAGGGGAAGGAGGTAACTGGCATCTAGTGGGTAGAGGCAGCCCATGGGCTCTGCCAAGCATCTTACAATGCACAGGACAGCCTCCAACATCAAATATTTACATGGCCCTACATGTCAAAAAGGGCTGCTGTTGAGAAATCCTGTTTTATGTATCTATTGTGTGGACATCTTTCCATGTCAGCACATACATTTGAACCTCTTTAATGGCTTAGTATATAACATCTGTATTATCTGTCTTAGTTGAGGACCATGGACTGAATGGCTTAAGCAACAATTATGGTTCTGGAGGCTGGGAAGTCCGGGTCACGGTGCTGGCAGATCTGGTTTCTGCTGAGGGCTCTCATTCTGGTTTGCAGACAGCCATCTTCACACTGCATCACACGCGGCCGAGAGAGGACGCAAGCTGTCTCCGCTCTCACAATCCAGTTAACTCGCAAGGGCCCCACCTCCAAATGCCATTTACGAAGGAATCAGAATACCACTTCAAAATAGGAACTGGGTGGGTGGAGAACACAAACTTTCAGTCCATAGTAATGTCTAAATTTTTTAAACTACTTTCCTTTTGTTGACTATTTTAAAATATTTCCTCTTTTCCCCTAGAATACCGTATTGCTTCAACCTGTGGGTGGTGTATGTGCCTGTGTGTGTGTATGTGTGCATGTGTCCAGTTGCTTAGTATTTTGTAGGATATGGTCTCATGCATATTCAGCATTGAAAATGAAGTTTACATTGCAAAATTGTTCCTCCTTCCCTCAGGAAAGTTGTGTTGTTTTGCTGGGTCCTAAAAGCATGATTGATACTCTGCTGAACAGGCAAGGAGAAGGGTACTCCAAGTAGGAGGCGAGCAAGTGCAAAGGCACTGCGGCGTGAGGCTCACCGTGGAAGGGGGAACTGTGGCTATTCACTGAAGGTAGGGTCGAAGTGGCAGAGACAAGGCCGACTACTAAAGAAAAACACTTTCTTGTACCGTTTGAAAATTTGATTTAATTTGCAGATATTTTCTTCTGATGCAATTGATCAGTGTCACTTAAAAATATTCTCATATCCTAATTGTAGTTTTTACATGATATAAAAAATACACAATGAAAAAAGTTACCTGTTTCGTACAAGGGAGGCAACATAGATCCAGACAGACAAGACATTTTTGGGATATGGGTGGATATATACAGCTAAAGCAAATTCCACATTAGGAACGTCAATATTATGCACTCCAGTGCTGTACACCGCTTCAACCAAGGGCTTCAGCTCCGAATAGGGCATGTGCAGTGGAAAGCCAGAGAACTGAAGGGAGAAAACCAGATTTGTACATGTTAGCGAAGCTTAAAGATTTTATATTTTTTTCTCTGTCTACACATGCAATTCTCAATAAGTCTTCCTTGTGGCTCTCCAAGCCATTTATTAGTTCTGCCTCTCTGTTCAGCTGTATATTGGCAATACAGAAAACGGAGCGGGGCTCAGTGTCTTTAGTTGCTAGCATATTGACTTGGTATATAAGACACCTGCTAGTCACCCTCCACTGTTCCCGTCCCTCTTCCTGGGAGCCCCTTGTTTGCACAGTAACCCCTGTAATTCCAGGGCCCTAGGTTAAGCTAATCATTGCATCCTATCCCTCTGGCCACAGTGATTATCTACGTGGATTGGGCATGGGATCAAAGTGAGTTTCCGGAAACTTGCTAGGAATTTGGCAGTACATGTGTGTATTGTCAGTAGGAGTGAGTCCGGCACGGGAAAGCCAGCTTGATGCCATCACGTGGAGTAGGGCAGACTTGCGGAAAAGGCCTGATACATGGTCCTCACCTCTTTTACTTAAATAAGCCATTAACTTATTTTTATTGCTCAAGGATGTTTATGTTTTCTGTTACTTCAGAACTTGGCTGAAAACCTGGCCTTAAAAGTTAAAGGACATGTTTGTCAGTGAATAGAATTAAATGTCCAACTTCGTGCTGTTTGTCCAGCAAGGTGTACTGCCTTCGTTTGAGACTGCTTGCTGGGGTTTATTATCCAGCTATGGACACAGCACTACCAACAGGCAGTAGAGAGAATATATTGTCTATTAATGAGAATCTTTCTTAGCAATGAGAAGCAATTAGTATAAAATCATATCCTTTTAAAAAACCTGATTGAGAGTGGTTAGTTTCACCTTTATGCACAGTTGAGTCTGACATGAATTAGCCAGATGTTTTTATTTAAGACTTGCAATGTATTTTATACTTTTTAAATAGGATCATCTTATTAAAAAATGGTAATTTCATTTTAAAGAGGTTTTCTGCTATTTAATGATAGGTTAGTTACTGAGATTTGAACTTTCCTTTTTTGTTAATCCTCACCCAAGGATATTTTTCCTTTTTTTAAATTTTTTTTAGATAGAGTGGAAAGGAGGGAGGGGCGGAGGGAGGGAGAGAGAGGGAGAGAGGGAGAAAACATCGATGTGAGAGAGACACATCAATTGGTTGCTTTCCACACAACCCTGACCGGGGCTGGGGGATTGAACCTGCAACCCAGGTACATGCCCTTGAATGGAATTGAACCTGTGACCTTTCGGTCTGCAGGCTGATGCTCTGTATGCTGAGCCGAGCCAGCCAGGGTGAAATTTGAACTTTTAATTTACATTTTTTACTCTGCTACTTCATCCATATACTTTGTAGAGCAATGTAGGACTTTTTATTTGTATTTTTCAATCACAGTCTACCTTCAGTACCATTCTGCACCAGCTCCAGATGTACAGTAAGGGGCCGAAAAACCGTGAGGTCCAGAGTGGCCCCCCACTGCTTCAAGCCCCCACCTGGCCCCATGCCCATTTATCTCGACATTGTTGCCATAGTCCCATGCTGCAATCCATCCCTCTGGCTATTCTGCAACTACATACCAATTTGTACTGCTTAATCCCCCCCCCCCTTCTCCTCTGACAGCTGTCAGTCTGTTCTCTGTATCTATGAGTCTGTTTCCATTTTGTGTCTTTTGCTCATTAGATTCCACATACAAATGAAATCATACAGTGCTGCCTTTCTCTGACCCTGCTTATTTCACTTAGCACAATACCTTGTAGGTTCAACCGTGTTGCTGTGAAAGGTAAGAAAGAGTTCCTTCTCTTTTGTGGCCGAGTAGTAGTACATTGTGTAAATATCAGCTTTTTTCATCTACTCATCTACTGATGGGCCACTGTAGGAATTTTGATGTCGAAAACCCATTATGGAGCAATCTCCCACCGGAAAGGGACAGCCGGGGGCCGAGCGGAGAGCGGGCGCTTACCCGGCAGTCCCCGAGCTGCCTCCGCAGTTCTGCCCGGTGGTCCTCTTCTACCTCCTCTCCCCGGCTGCTCTCCAGCAGAGGCAGGAAGTGGCGCAGCGTGGAGGTGCAGTACCTGTTCCACCTCGTCAGGTGCCGCGGCCTCCAGTCCATGATTTTTTCTTTTAGTATTTTTTCAATCCTGTTTATAAAAAATAAACTCCATTTTTTGCTGATTTGACTTTTCTCTTTTAGACAAAAATCCAGTTTGAATGCACTGGGGACTCAGGGGGTTACAGGATCATGCTTGTGGTGCAGTTGTTTCACCAGGCGTGTCTAATACGGGCCAATCCCTGAGGGTTAACAAGTGAACACAGCGATCCTCGCCCTGGAAGGTGGTATGTGGTGGGGATGGGAAGTAGACCTGTGAATGGATAGCCTAAGGGTAACATGCTTGACCTGCAACACAAAAGAGGGAGCCCTGAATAAGGGGTACAGCTGCAGTCAATGCAGTCGGCAACAGATTTATCATCATGGCGTGTTTTATCACTTTGTTCGTTGGTGACATGTACACAGACAAATCGGACCCAGGCCGGAGGGGCGGGTTTGTGCCGAAAAGCTCCCACAGGCTGTGAGTGCCGCACACGGCTTCCCTTGCCTTCTGTTCATGAGGACTGTTTCCGTAAATTGCCTTAAAACTGCCTTTAAAATAGCCATCATCGTTGCAATTTACGTTTCGATACCCTGCCTTACAGTTAGTAGGATGGGGATGGGGTCTGAAGCGCGTGAGGCTCAAACACAGTGAAAGAGAGTAGCTGCCGCGTTCCGAGCCGTATTCCCTGGGCCCTGTCAGTGCTGCTCAGACGTTCCCCTTCGTCCTAACGTAAGCCCTCGCGGTAGGGCAATGTTTCCCCAGTTCGCCCACGAAGGGGACTGCTTGAGACGGCAAGTGACATGAAGGCTTCATTTGAATTTGAAATTCAGAGTGAACCGGTGTCTCCTAATAGTAACACCTTAAGCCGGGACCCGCCGAGTCACGGATGTTTGAGCTGCTCTGCGCAGAGCTGGAGGGCAAGGGCGCAGGGCCCGCAGGCTCAGATCCGGAGGCCCCGGTTCCACCTCTGCGCCTGCTTTCACATCTGCGAAACCGGGAGAACAGTTCTACTTTGCAGGATCATAAGGATTCTAGGGACTCAGCTAGGTTCTTACGAGCCTCCATGTTTAAGGTTTACGAATGGCTGAAGTCCGGCCAACCACTAATCGACAACAGGCATATGTAAACCGAGGACCAGTACCTGTCGAACAAAACCCCTGATGCTGAACTAATCTGAGGTGGAATTTTTGGAGAACTGCCAAGCACAGCTGGGGTTCACTTCTGTCTGCCCCACACCATGCTGCCCTGAGGTCTCCTTTCGAGCCACGGGATTTAGAGATCACATCTGTACTTGGGGGTCTATAATTGTGAATCAAAATTTAATTGCCCAAATGATTTCCCATTGCTCCAGGCTGAGAATCGGCTGGTTTGGAATGACACCCCTAGCGACAGACAGTGGCTTGACGGTGGCACGTGACCTGTCCTGGAGCTCCGCGGCAGCCGCTTTGTCTGTACGCTGGTAAGCAAGCTCTTCCGGCTGTAAAAGAGGAAGTCGTTCAGAAGTTCTGGAAACCACTCATTTGACTAGCTCTACATCCCTTTCTAAATCTTTTTTACAAATTATGAAATCTTGGACATTCAGATGTAGAAAATGATATAACTGATGCAGTGTACCCATGGCCCGTCTTAAGTAAAACATCAAGTTCTAGTTCTTCCTCAGTGACCCTTCTCTCTCGGCACAGAAGTAACCATGACCTGAATTTGTTTTCTAGCACATTCATTCTGCATCTGTAAGGTGCCTACTATGTGTCAGGTAATGGGCTGGCAATCAAACTTCCTGCCCCCAGGATATTTGCATCATAGTGGAGGTAGGCAAGTTAGCACAATGTGCTTATGATCTTACTGCAGACACAACGTCTCCCCAAACAATATACTGTATTGTATTGTTTTGCATGTTTTCTAAGCTATATAATAATTTAATACTGTGAATATACAACTTGTTTTTTCTCTTCATATTTAGAAATAAGAGCAAACATTTTTAGAGGGCTTACTGTAATTAATATTGATTCATTTGTGTAACAACTATAAACTACTCCATTAGGTACTGTAATTTATCCCTACGCTGTTCCAAGTCTTGGACTATTGCAAACACTCCCATTGAAAATCTTGTATATGTTACCTTGTACACATGGGAGAATTTCTCTAGGGCAGGGTTTATCAAACCTTTTTTTAAAAGTTTGATCACAGTAAAAAATACATTTTATATTACATACCCAGTATACACATATATATCTAGCTCTCAAACAAAAGTGGTATTAAAGAGTTCTCATGCTTATTACTTGCAATCTGTTTCCAGGATCCCTCTATATCAATTTTATGACATTAATTGAGGTGACACCATAATTTTAAAAATTACATAAAATAAATCTTGTGATGCTTTTTTATGTCATGGGCTCCTCATGTCAAAGCATCTCTTTCACATGTGTGCATACATGTGTGTGGTTCAAGGCGTGCTAGTGTATTTCTTACTGTGAGTTGAACTCAACTAAGTTTGAAAAACAAACATTATTTTAGACAAAATATCTAGGAGTAGAATTAAGGGTGAAAAATATCTGGCTACCCAGCACAGTGACTTCAAATTCTTCACTTTCTTTGTCTACATTTAATTATTATTAGAAGAAGTATACCTGAACACTGGAAAGGCCAGGGTATGGAAGGCTTCTTGAAAAGAAAGGTTTCCAAAGCTTGGGCTTGGTGACATCAAAATTTATCCTTAGTGGGGAGTCATATCGTTGAATATTAAACCAAATCTAACAAAGACAAGACCACATTAGCTTATCTGGTGTGAGATACATATGCACGTGCGTGTGTGCATGTGTGCATGTGTGTGCATGTGTGTGCATGTGTGTGCGTGTGTGTATGGAGAGGAGAAATCTGCTTTACAGTACCCTTCACAGTGAAATGGCCCCCAGACTGGGTGCAGCGAGAATCACCTAGTGGTACCTGTAAATCTCTCTTTTTTAAAAATAGGTTTTTATTGATTATTTTAGAGAGAGAAACATTGATGTGAGAGAGAAACATTGATCAGATGACTCCTGCACACCCCTACTGGGGATCAAGCCTGAAACCCGGGCATGTGCCCTGAGTGGGATTCAAACTGGGACCTCTCAGTCCACGGGATGATGCTCAGTCCACTGAGCCACACCGGCTAGGCTGTAAATCTCTCATAAGAAAAAGAAAGAAACTCAGTTTTCTCAGGTTATAACTCAAAGCACTATGAATTAGGCATTGTAAACTCTAGTTTGGACATGTAACAAGCACAGAGCCAAGACACAAACTCGGGTCCTCTGAATCTAATCGCGTGTTCTTTAACCTCATTCTGCTTCTTTGCAGGTTGGGTGACTAATTCAACCAAAACTTTTATTTAGGACAGTTGTGTAATTGTGCTCGACACTACATTTCTTTAAATGGCAAACGTGTAGCCCTGACCAGTGTGGCTCAGTTGGTTTGGAGTGTCGTCCTTTACATTGAAAGGTTGTGGGTTCGATTCCCAGTCAGGGCACATGCCAGGTTGTGGATTCGATCCCCATTTGGGGCGTGTACATGAAGCAACCATTTGATGTTTCTCTCTCACATCAATGTTTCTCTCTCTTTCTCTCCCTTCTCTCTAAAATCAATGAAAAACATATCCTCCAGTGAGGATAAAAAAAATAAAATAAATGGTATACGTGTATGTTTAAACTTTTGGGATACATAATTATTTAAGTTATTGGGTCAATTAATAAAGCAGCAGACAGCCAACCGTGTTTAAGAGGAGATGTTAATACTCACATTATCAGGACCTATTAAACAGCCCACGCTTTTTAAGGGACAGAACGTATCAAATTGTCCATAAAACTGTCCACTGCAGGGATTCCATAGTAAGTAGTGACTTGGCTCCCGAGTTAGCACATAGGCAGTTGGGCCCTAAGGGAAAGGGGCATTAAGAGAGTTTTCAGCCTCGAGCACAGTTTAGTGAACAAACAGGTCGTACTCTTGTCGCTCAACTAACACAGCCTCAGGTGGGCTGAAGAACGGTCCTTGATGGAATAAGCACCCCTGGCCTTTTCCTTCCCGCGAGACGCTTTCAGATGTTTAGAAGGCTGACTATGTCTGAACACGACTTCTGTGTCTAGTACATTAAGTAATATAATTGTGTAAATGCAGAGAAGATAATTTGACGAGATACACATCAAACCGTTAGCAGTGACTACGCCTGAGGAAGGGGTGGGAGTGGGGGTCGGAGCCTGAAGGAGGACTTAACTTTTTGCCTGGGATACTTCTATATCATTGGATTCTCTTTTTACAATGAGCATTTACTCATTTTTAGCTCCTGCATGGCTTCATGCTCAAGTAGCCTTCTGGGAAGGCCGGGATAAATGGTTACCGCAGTTTATAAAGCTCCGAGCTGTGACGTGACTTGCTCAGAGTCGCACAGCTCAGGAGTGGCAGAGCCTTGAACCCAGGCCCTGCGACTTCCCTGGTACCGGGCTGTCTGGAAGATACTGCTGAGAATGATTAGGATTCGGATCTGATGCTACCTGCCCAGCAGCAACTTGTGCTTTTTAATTCCTAGAGGATTCCTAGGCCCGTGGCCTCGTTCCAGACTGCTGTGTGGATAAGCCGCCGCCGTCCATGTGAACTTTCTAAACTTGTGCCCAGAACCACCCATTGTGCAGTGGGCTGGGGAAACGTTCTAATCACTAAGTCTCCAGTCTAATGAAAACTAACGATACACTCGGTGCAGCCGCGGACCTGAGCTCCTGCGGCGCCCTCTGCCCGCCTCCTTCGCTGGCTCGTGGGAGGAGAGGACTCTGACCGCCCCTGGGCATGGGTAGCACTAGATCACTGAGGGAGTCAGACAGAAGGACAGGGCTGGGCGGGGCTTCGCCTGGGAAAGGGTTCAGATTTGTCAGAAAACATTCTGAGGTGCCGTGCAGGGCGTGAACCTTGGGTACCACTGAGAACCCTTTGGTGTCTTATCGCCGGTACTCTCTGCCTGTTAGGGACTCTCTGGGCCACTTGCCTCACAACTGAAAGATGGTGATGAAAATCGGCCCCGTGTGGTCTGAAACCACACCGCCAGGGCAGACGCGCACCTCTGTCGGATCCAGCCCGCCCGGTCTCACCTCAGGAATAGCGCTGCCCATCATGAGCCAGGCCTTCTTCCCCAGGGACAGAAAATAGTTGCACAGCAACACTGCGTGCTCTTCTTCGTCCCCTGCTAGGAGATCCAGAAATTGCTGGCAAAGAGAAAAAAAGTTGCCTTGACTGCTTCGTTCTGGATCGGCTGTACGGGATACGATGAATTAAAACTTCAGTACTATGAATCAAAAAAATTTTTAATTCATTTTTAAAACTCCCTTTTATTGGACATGATGTTTGCTCATTAATGACACGGGTTTCTAGAATCAGCACTACGAGGTGGGGGAGACAGATTTAGAAGTTTTACGTTTCATTTTGAATTTATATTGACAGCTCACTATGTGCCGAACACCTTGTGTAAAGTCTTTTTAGAGCAGTTAGGTTCAGAGAGATTTCACCTAACCACTGCCACACGTCCACAGCCTCCCCACCAGATGGCACACTTGTAACTGACACACCGTCGTCGCCCACAGTCCGCGGCATTAGGGTTCCCTCTTGGTGGTGGCCGGTCTTTGGGTTTTGACAAGGGTGTAATGACATGCATCCATCATCATCATGTTGGACAGAGTATGTTCACTGCCCTACAAATCACGTGTGTGCTCCACCTATTCATATATATGTGTGCTCCCCCATTCTCTCCCTTCCCCCCGCCCCAGGGTGTTTCAAACACACTGACTTACTCCCAGAACAAACCTTCGAGGGAGGTGGAGGCACGGAGAGGCGTGATGCCCAGCAGTGGGAAGTCAGTCTGCTCTAGAGCACATGGACTATTCTTTGCACATGGATATCTCCAGGTTGTGGACATGTCTGCCTCTAAAACTGTCAACATCATGTGGCCAAAACGTATTGGGGAACAAAACATTTAAAGTGTACTTCAGTTTCTTTGGCTGAGAGCTACCCTTCAAAGGGAGTTGCATCATAGAGTTTAATTTTATGCAGGGTACAACCCAAGAAGCAGACAGACCGAGTACCTGCACTACACGTCTGTTCCGTCCCAGCACAGATCCTGGGAGTTGGCGGCCATGCAGACTGAGCTCTGTGAGCACACACAGGCCGGCTGCCTTTGCTAATAACCGGACTGAGCAGGGTCTGCTAGGTGGCGGCTGGCCGAGACACACGTGAACGGGCAACGACAGGCGTGCCTCGGCCCACAAATGAAGGAATACACAATTCCAAATGTAATAGAAGGTGGAGGTTTGATTTTTAAATGAATAAAACTGGGAAGTCAATAAGGCAGTACTAGGAGAATAAGTCAGAGTTAAGACATCTGAAGAGTTGGTTTTCCATTTCTTTATGCAATAATTATTTTTTAAAACGTGTAGTCTTTGGGCAGATTGATCCAGAAAGAAAAAAATGCTTCAGAATTCAGCTCATCCTACTAAATAGAGGGTGCAGGAGATTGTCATAATGACTAATGAGTGTTGCAATTTAAAATTACGCAAGCCGTGTAGCTAATATGCCGAGAAGTCAGCCTCAAACCACTGAGGAAAAACAACTTACATCAGACGTGCTCCACAGGTCACAGATGCCAGCAAAGGAAACCGTGTCAGGCAGGAAAGGAATCAGTGACACATACCGAGCCACCAGTTCCTGTTTAAACAAAATAAAAAAACAAGTTCTGATCAAACAGAAAGCGGGATCCTCTCCCTCTCCGCCTGCAAGAAAGTTTCATGGGTCACGGACATTCGTGTGGACAAAATCAAACGAATGCTCACCCGGGGCTTCCTAAGGGTCGTGTTAGCCTGTTTGAACCTCTCCATACAGCCCATGAAGAGGGTCGTTGTTATTATGCACTTTTTTACAGATGAAGAAACTGGCTCCGGAGTCTCTGAAATGTCCTTATTACCCGGCCTCACTCTCTGGTAGAAGGAGACTTTCCGGGATCATCTTGTGTTTTCTCTAGCTCAGCCCTAACAGCAGCCGTTTCTCCGGGGCCCTGGTTCGTGTTAGAGAGCAATAGCATTTAAACCCAAGATCAGGGCACCACTGTAGTTATAACTTAGATTTATGTCATTTCTAAGAAGGTTGAACATCATACGGCTTCTTGTGTGTACACGTCTGTGAATTTCTGCTTATTTTGCATATTTTACAATTGACTTGTACGTGTTTTTTTTTTTTTTTTTTTGCATATTCTAGCTACTATGCCTTGTCTATTATATATGTTGTAAATATCCTCTCCTGATTTGTGGCTTGGCTTTTCTTTCTCTTTTTCTTTTTTCATTTTTTTTAATCCTCACCCAAGGACATTTTTGCATTTATCTTCAGATAGAGCGGGAGGGAGAGAGGGGAGAAGAGAGAGAGAGAAACATCGATCGATGTGAGAGAGACACATCAACTGGCTGCCACCCACATGACCCCAACCGGGGCCGGGGACAAACTGCAACCAAGGTACGTGCCCTTAGCGGGAACCAAGCCTGGGACTCTCTGGTCCGCAAGTTGTCACTCTAACCGCTGAGCCAAACCGGCCAGGGCATCTTTTCATTTTCTTGACAGTGTCTTTTTATAAACCAAATTTCTCAGTTTTAACAAGGTCAAAGTTAACATTCTTTTTATAGTTGGTGCTTTTTTGTCTTAAGAAAAACTTTCTAGCTCAGGTCATAAAGATAAAAATGCTTTTCAGATGTAAGCCCTGCATCTATCTGCAATTGAATAATGTGAAGTAGGAATCTATTTCTATTTTTTTCATGTGAAAAATCAACGACCCTGGTACAATTGATGTAATAGTCTGCCTTTTCTTGACTACCCTCTAGTGGCCGGCTTTGTCACAGAGCAGGTTCGAGTGGGTCATAACAGCGTGGATCTAGTCTGGAGTTTTTATTCTCTTTTATTTTTTCTCTGTTCTCCATGTGTGGATACCACTTTACCTTAATCACTGTGGTCTCATCAGCAGTCTGAATGTACGGGATGGCAGGTCTTCTCTTGTTCTCCTGTTCAGAACCTATGCGTGTGTTTTGTTGTTGCATTCATTTAAATTAGGATGCAGATCTTCCCACTGAGTTCTTACCCTGCAGGGTCGTCTTGGCCATTTGTAACATTTTGCACTCCATATGAATATTAGAATCAGTTCGTCAAGTTCACTGGAAATCTATTTGAACAGTCTTTGTCTTTTAACTCGATTGTAATTATTGTAAATATTTTGAATTTTTAAACTACCTTCTTCTATGCTTTTTAGTTCTTGCACTTTTCTATATATCCTTCCCCCCACACACACACTTTCTTCACCCCATTTTATTATGTTTTCTGCTGCTATTTTGGAAATTATAGTATTCACTTTTCTTATTCTTCTAAGTGGTTAATTTAGAAGTTTCAACATGAAAATTTCACTTAAATTCAAACGTTAATAAATATATGTGTCCTCGTCATGGAAAATATAGGGGTGTTGCCCTTTGCGACAGCTTGGATGACCTGGAGGGTACTATGCTAGGTGAAATAAGCCAGTCCCAGAAAGACACATCCCACATGATTTCACTTATATGTAGAATCTAATGAACAAAATAAACTAACAAACAAAATAGAAGCAGATTCCTAGATGCAGAGAGCAGACTGACAGCTGTCAGAGGGGAGAGGGAGGGGGGATGGGTGAGAAGGGTGAAGGGATTGGGGTGGGGGGGCAGCAGTAAGGTGATTGCCAGAGGGAAAGGGGGATAGAAGAGGACAAACAGGGGTCGGGGTGGTAAATTGAAAAATATATATTTTTTTACCAATCCTGTCCTGATATACATGCTTTTTTAAAATTTCAGGATTTTTGTTCTATCCTGATTTTTCACCAACATTACTATTATTTTTGTTATGAAAACTATGCTTTTTAAGATATACTCACAAATTTCCTATCTCTTTAATTTTTTTTTTAGCTAGTGTTATAGGTTCCATCTAGAATTTCTCTGAGAGCCTCTGTTCTCTTCGAAGTATGTATTTTAGGAAATTCCTTAAATGAGGATCTTTTGGCTATAATTTCTCCCAATGTTTGTGTGAAAGATAGTTTCACTGGCTATAAATTATTAGTTTGACGGCTATTTTCTTTGTCTTTTGAAGATATTATTCCTGTCTGGCTCATTTGTGCAGCTCAAAGGTGTGTTGGCTCATCTCCGCCTCCGTAGTTCCCTCTGATACGCCTAGATTTGCACCTATTGTATTTGTCTTGCTCAGGATTCACTGGGCTTCCTGAATTAAGGAGTGTCTTCCATCAAATCTTTAAAATTCTTCGCTCTTTTCTTCTGAATATTGCTTTTTTCCTTTTGTACACAATTTGGTCCTTCTCCCTCCACCATCGGTGCCTCCTAACCATTTCTTTACTTTCTCCTTTTTTCTCTCTGTGCTGTATACCAGGTAATTTCTTCACATGTGTATTTCAGGTCACAGATTCTCTCTATTTAACCGCAGTTAATATTTTGTTTAACCTGCTTGTTTAATTTCTTATTTTAGCTAATGCCCTCTTATTTCTACCAGTGCACTTTTAACATTTGCCTGTCAATTCTGATAGTCTGTTGTTCTTTTGTTATATATGCAGCTCCCTAGATTTCTGGAACTTGAGAAGCATGCCGATTTCATATTCTGACCATGCCACCCTCTGCAGCCTTTGTGGCCCAGCTCTGCAGTTTGTTTCTGCTAACTACTCTTTCCTTCTCCACGGTGACTTATTTCTCCACCGATGCTCTTCTTTACGTTCATGTTGCTTGGAACATTTTCTGTGGGATTTTATTTGAGGCTGAGCTTAAAGGGTGTTGTTCTTCTAGATTAGATCTATGTTTGCTTCTGACAGGGATCTAGGGGCATTACCAACAAGGACGACGTAAAAAAAATTTTTTTTTCATTGATTTGAGAGAGAGATTTGTTGTTTCACTTATTTATGCATTCATTGGTTGATTCTTGTATGTGCCCTGACTGGGGACTGAACCCACAACCTTGGCACGTGGGGGTTGCTCTAACCAGCTGAGCTGCCCAGCCAGGCTGCAGAGTAGTTAATTTTAAAAGAATGGGCTCTGGCGCAAAGCTATCTGAGTTCCCGGTCTAACTCCACCATGAACTAGTTGTGTGACCCTGGACTAATTATGGAGAGTATCACTACTGTTTGAATTGATGTTAGAGAGAGAAAGGAAGGGAGAGAGAGAAACGCTGATTTGTTGTCCCACTTATTTATGCCCTCACTGGTTGCTTTATGTACGTGCCCTGACAGGAGATCGAACCTGCAACCTTGGCATGTGGGGATGACCCCCTAACCAACTGAGCTACCCAGGCTACCCAGTTAGGGTCAGGGAATGCTTCCTTTCACATTTTCTGGGTCAGACTGGTCTTATACATTCCAGCATTGCACGTGAGTAAATACAGCTCCTTGATTGAGAGCCCCCGGAGAGACTTCCCTTGTAGACTCCTAGGGCGGAGACAGGGCGTTTCTAGCTCACCCGCCGTGTTACCTGTCAAGGGTCCTAACCGTGGCGGAGCCTCTAAGCCAGCCTCCCAGCCAGCTCAGCCCCTGCCCTGCTCCTTCCTGTCTCCAGCAGCCTGTGGCCCAGGGAAGCCAGGTCTCCCCTGACACCCTCAGGGCAAACACTGTTTCAAGAACCTTGTAGGATCTTTCTCTCTTGCTTTCCTGTCTCTTCCTATTTCAACCATGATTTAAAACATGTTTTAAATATTTAATTCATCACTCTTAAATGTTTTGTACTGGGAGAAGTTTTCCGCACAATAATCTACTATGCTAGAGACAACGGAAGCCCCTTTATGGTTTTCAATGAAAACCGATAAATAAGAAAGTCGATGAAATGTGGAACACAAGGGTTTTTTACATCCTTCCATCTGCAGATAGATCCCTCATTATCCTGTCCCTAAATTACTGCATTCATGACTTCTTAGCAGCAGCCACTGCCGATACTGTCCCCTCTGTGACGACGGCCGGGGTCACGGCACTCAGTGAACAGCAGCCCCGAACCCGCGAAGGGCCGGCCTGTCCGGGCGCAGTGCGGGGTGTGGCTTCGTCGGACACGGGCGGCATCGCTGCTGCCTGGCTGGAATTCGCCGGCGCCGTGACAGTCAGGACAAGGCTGAACGGTCGTCCTGGTCTAGTGGAAGCCACGGGTTCTGAGTCAGGGCCTGCGTTCGGATCCTGTGAAGCTGTCGCGAATACGCCCTGAAGACGTTTGTGAAAGTGGGGGGCGCCTTCCAACTGCCAGTGTGCCGGCACCCGGTCCAGTGGCAGGGACACAGCGAGCCCTCGGTACTGTCGAGAGTGAACCCAGGATGATTTGTTACCCTCTCTGGTACCTGCAAACTTCAACACAGCACGAAAGCCGCCCTGGCCGGTTTGGCTCAGCGGTGAGAGCGTCGGCCTGCGGTCCCGAGAGACCCGGGTTCGGTTCCCGCTAAGGGCACGTACCTCGGTTGCAGTGTGTCCCCGGCCCTGGTTGGGTCGTGCGGGTGGCAGCTACTCGATGTGTCCCTTTCATGTCGATGTTTTTCTCTCTCTCCCTCCCTCTCTATCTGAACAAAATATGGAAAAATGTCCTCGGGTGAGGTTTAAAAAAAAACAAAAGAGCGTCAGCCTCAGGTCCTAAGCTTGTTCGAATGGTCAGGTTACCCCGGACGATCCTGCCACAGTGACAATGCCCCGAGGTGTGACGGCATGCTGGGGTTCGAACACCCGCTGGCACCAGCCTGCACATACTCACTGCGGTGGCCTGAGGGCTGCTGGGGTGAGCGTCCAGCAGCTCCCGCGGAGGGTTCAACGGCCTGAGATACCGAGTCACAAAGACCGTCTTCCCGCTTATGTCGACCACTGTGGTCAGGCACTGCCGGCCGGGGAACTTCAAGGCACAGTCCGCCTGGAATTTCTCTGCTGCTTGAAGCAATTTCTCATCTTCCTGGGACTCGAACTGCAAAGAGAAGGAGACACAGGAAGCTGCTCCGGTCCCATGGTCAACGTGAACTGAAGGGGTGCTCCAGGGAGCTGCTGAAGTGAGCCCTCCCAACACCGTCATGCCCGGGGTCCGTGAAGCTCTACAATCTTAAACTTAGATGAACTTGTTAACTACTTCAGACATATTTAACAGGATTGAAAGAAAGTGGTCAACAGACCAGCAGTCATATAAGATTAATAAAACAACCTATGAAAAGTAAGCTATGGGGTACTAATTCTGACTGATGAGACCATGAAATAGTTTTATGTGCATTTTGATGTCAGTTTTAGAGGGAAGAAGGGCTCAGAAGTCTAAAAGCCCAAATGCAACGCTTAAGCAAGCAACTCATATCAGATGGACAACACATTTACGGATGTATGCGGATGTATTCAAAAGTTTCAAATCCATAATCAGTGTCGTAAATAACAGTGATGGCTCTCAAGGAAAAAGGAAGCAGAACTAGAAACATTAAATGTGTAATAGTTATTATTATTCTTTTTAATCCTTGCCAGAGGATATGTTTAGAGAGAGGAAGGGAGAGAGAGAGAGAAACATCGATTGGTTGCCTCTTGTCCTTGCCCCGACTGGGAATTGAACCTGCAACCTTTTGGTGTATGGGACGACCCTCCAACCAACCAAGCTAGCTGGCCAGGGCTGTAATAGTTGTTTTAAGTGGTTCTCTGATCTAAAATGAGCTACAAATTCCAAGACTTTTAAAAGTAACTCAAAGCAGATGAAACAGAACAGATTTCAATTGCCTTTTCCCCCTCAAGCCATTGCTAAAAAATAGCATGAAAAAAAAAGCCAGCCCTTTAAATGTTTTTACAAGATTTTTGTTACTTAGTATAAAAAGATACACATTGTTGCTTACACTTCAAAGGATTTCAAGACAAACTCAAATAAAATTTTATTAGGAAAATTAAGTAGAATTTAGATTCTAGGCAGCACATGAGAGAGTTTTGTTTCACTTTTATGGTTTTCTTTTTGGAGGAGGAAAATGCACCTGGCTCTCTCCCTCATTCTCTGTTATCCTCCTCATCTCTTTATTTTACTATTTTTTAGTATTTAAAAATCACTGACACACAATGTGTTTGTGTGCTCTCCTGCAGAGAGTGTTTCCTGAAGTCGGGTTTTGTTTCGACCTCAGTCTTTGTCTCCAGTACCGAGAATACCACCCAGCACACGGCAGAAGGCCGGCCAGTCCTGCCGAGTGGAGGAGCGAGTGAATGCAAACTGACACGCTACGTTTTATGACCAACTAGAATCGGGAATATTCTGATGGTTCGTCTCTTCTCTCATATGGGAGTTGGACCATGGCTTCTGTTTCTACTTTGATTTCAGGACCCTGAGGAATTGGGTAGCAGTTATGGGGGTTAGGCAGGACAGGGGCATCTCCAAAAGCCCCTACATATTCTCGTGGGATGCGCCCCTGACACGGATCTTAACATCATCACCATTACAACCCCCTGCGACTCAGCACAGTGCCGAGAGCCACCCGATGGGTGTTGTGATGAACCATCAATAAACGAAAATGGTGAGCTCATCAGGCTTCGGTGTGGTGTGTCACCAACTGCGCTCCAGCCAGAAAGAATTATAATTTTAGAAAGATGGAGAATTATGAAACGAGGATGGTGTGAAAGAAAGAGCACGTGGTAAAATTCCCTCCCTGTTTCCTTCACACACACTCATTTTCTGATCCATCCATCTAAGTATTTGAAAAATGTTGCTGAGAGTCTACGAGGTCCCAGGCACTCTGGATAAGTGAGTATAAAGGAGTCTCTTCGAGACACTTCTAGTCCAGAGAGAACAGTAATAAGCAATCAGGTGCTTAGAATGCTTGACCAGTTTCCGTGGGATTGACGCAGTGGGGCCCGGAAGAGGCAGACAGGCACGGTCCGGAAAAACAATGCAAATCTTGAGTCAGTCCATCTGCCTTCCAAGTTGAAAAAAGTGTGTCCAACGTTTTCTGCCACTTGGACCTGGATGTTCTGTGTTGTGTTTTGACTCTAGTGCTTCCTGCCAGCAGGCCCCTGTTTGAATCCTCCTTTGTTCGTTTCCGCACTGAGCATGTACAAGGTCAACATTTTGTAAGTATCAGTGGTCATTAATACTTATTTAGGCCACGGGGATGCCGTTTCACAACATGACACAGTAATTCAAGGAGTCGTGTGCCATGCTGGTAATCTAAGACGAGTCAAGCAGAAGCCCCAGGCTGAAGCAAGGCGGTCCTTGGTCATGGAACACACTGTGGCGGAGCCGACAAATCCACACTTTGATTCTACGGGACATTTGGAAGATTCTCAACCGGCTCACTTCTTTAACCTCTAGGTTCATGGAAATACTCTCAGGAAGCTGACTGGGTTCGTCCCCCCTTTGAAGACCCACGTTGCGACAGCGCCACTGCTCAGAAACAGCTGTCTCTGCAAGAAGCTGCTCGTGGGCTTTGCGGACTTGGAAACGCTGGACGTAACTCCCAGCAGGTGACATTCAGACCTGTGACTTCCCAGCTTCCAAGCTAAAGAGGAATCCTTCTCACAAAATGACATGGGCCCAAAGACCAAGCTGGACGTTCTCCGTGCCGCTGTGGACATGTGCAGTGCACTGCCAAGGAAACACACACACACACACATACACACACACATCTGGACCACACACACGTCTGGACCACACACACACATACACACACACACCTGGACCACACACACACACACGTCTGGACCACACACACACACACACACGTCTGGACCCAGACACACACACACACACACACGTCTGGACCACACACACACACACACACACACACGTCTGGACCACACACACACACACACACACGTCTGGACCACACACACACACACACACACGTCTGGACCCAGACACACACACACACACACACACACACGCGCGCGCGTCCGGACCCAGCTCATTCACACACACACACACACACACACACACACAGTCTGAACCCAGCCCATTCCACTAGGTGGCGGCGGACAACAGCAGCTGATTGAAGCCCAGGAACTGTTGGTTGATGAATGATGGAAACAAAACCCTTGGTACCGGTTTTAGTATCTCACTCTTCTCTCAGAGGCAAGAAAGGAGAAAGAGAAGAAATGAGAGACAGATTTTATGAACAGAAACAATCTATTTTCAAAAACTTGTTTTTTTTTTACCAAGATGATGTAAAGTCGGGGATGTTAGAATAAGAGTTTCAAGCTTTGCTGATTTTTTTAGAAAATTCCATGAGTAAATACCTTTAAAAATTCCCACGGAATGGTTCCATGTGGGATGAGGTGGTGGGAAAACTAATCCGTTCATCCTGGTTGCTGTCAGTGGAAAACAAGTCCAGGTTGGGGTCTCTGTTATTTTAGGGAGAGCTGCTCTTTCCCGAAGGGTCTGCAGGGGAGCCCCGAGGGACTTGGGAGTGCTGTCAGGCTGCCCGCCTTCCTTATCCAAAAGTGTCAAAGGTTCTGGTCTCCAAGGGGTTTCTTGTGGCCTCATTTTTCCAGGTCTCAGAGAAATGCTCCCTGCGGCCACAAGGGGGCTGTGAAATGCTGCCAGAGGCGGCAAGGACAGCCTGGCGCTCTGCGTGGAGGGCGGGCTGCAGCACCTGGGGACTAAGTTTCAGGACCCTGGAGCCTCGTGGCCATCCTGTGACGGAGGCCAGCGCCCCTGAGGACGCCCAGTGCCAGGGAGGCCCTGATTTCCTCCTCGGCCCGCCACAGACAGCCGGCTCGCACGGGGTTCGCCTCCAGGTGGCGTACTAGCTGGCTGCTTTCTCTTCTGTCGGGACACCGGGACCTGTGACCTCCGCCTTTGTCGGGGAGCATGCTGTGTGGACCTGCCTGCCGGCTTTCTCTCCGGGTCACACATTCTGAGTATGTTTTCTCTTCTAAACTATTTTGAAATGTATATATTCTAACATGCTTTCTAGACAACATACTTGTCACAACTTTGATGACAAAGGCCAGCATATAAGATGAATCTGAATTTCAGTAGATGTGTTTTTCCAGTAACCCTTTATGTCCTCTGTAAATGCCTTGCACGTGGGAAATAATGAGAGTATTTTCCTCCATGAGCCAAATTGTAATACTGAAAAGGAGAGAGAGGCAATGTGTGCTCATTAAAATAATCTCCATGTGAGTCCAGTTACAGTGGATCAGGAGTCGGCACAGTAATCTGTGTGGTGCAGCCGGTAGCTAACAGTTTGGGCTTACACATGACAATAAGCTGCAAGGAGTTTTTATTTGCTTTTCTAGGCTGTCGCATCCCCAGTGCCTAAAATCACCTGCCACGTAGAAGCTGCTCTGTAAATGCCGAACATTAAGATTTAGAGTCAGACAGCCCATTAACGGTCGGCTGTGCCGTTTACCACCTGGGTGACCCACCTTGCAAGACAGCCGAGACTATTCAAGGACAGACAGAGGTCAGATGCCTGACGTCGTGCTCAGGACAGAGCAAGAACTCAGTCCGTGCTGGCGGCGGTGGCTGCTACTGTGTCAGTTCGCAATAGTAAGAGGTCATGGTCAGCACTTCCTCCCCGATTCGCGAGGGCGGTCCGCCTCGTGCTGCCCAAGCCTGTCACCGGGACCGAGTGCCTCCCACTGGGAAGGGGGAAACAGCTGCTACATGAAGTTCTGGAAACGTTTTCTAGAGCTGTTCAAAATTAGAGTGGACTGAGGTCACCATGAAGGTCACCGAGCCTGACAGTCCTCTGAGTCGACTCAACGCACAGCACAGCGAGCCAGTGGGTCCGCCACCCAGTGGGTGTCAGGGAGCTGGCCACGTCTGTGCAGACAGAGGCCTGGGTCGTCTTCTCCCCGAGACTCCTGGAAGGGGAGCACGTTTATCTTCATCTTGCATTGCCTGAAAGTCGACGCGGCTGGTGGACTAATCATTGGCTCAGGGAATACAGACCCACGTGGTGGGGTCTCCCCTTCATCCGTGCAGGCCGGACGGGCTCTCAGGGGACATGGGAGAACAGCAACCTGTGCCTGGGCCGCGGTCCCAGTTCACCCAGAGCGGCCTGGCCAGCCCTTCTCACGCTCCGACTCAGGCGCGGCTCCAAGCGCAGCCAGGCTTACCTTCTCTCGGACCGGCTCCCCGGGAACCAGCTGAGGCTCGATGGTGATGAACAGCGTGAGGTAGGAGCCTTCGCTTAGGCTGCGGACAGCGTCAAAGCCCCGCTCGGCAATCACGCCGCGCTCCTTGCTGTAGCCCAGGAGGACAGGGGGAGTGTCTATTTTAAATGTCCCGTCAATCTGAGAAGAAAACAGGACTCGGTAAACATCCCGGTCATTGTGCTACAGAAGTTCAAAGGCAAGTGTCAACTCCTCCGTCTCATCAGTTCAGTAGACTGCCCAGAATGGCAGTCAAGGTCCGCCCCATCTTTCTACCTGGGTCTCCCTGTGCCCACAGAAAGCCCCCCGCCCTTTCGTGGTTCAGCAGAGTGTGTACTAGCTCTGCAAGCTGATGCCACCATGAGGTTGCCTGGGTTCACATCCTGAATTAAACTCCAAGTGTCTCCATTTACGCATTTGTAAAAAGGAGACAATAATAGCACCTACTTTGCAGGGTAGTTGTGTGTGCTGAATGCATTAATAGATGGAGAACAGTAAGAAAAATGCCTGGCGCCTGGTTAGCTGCTCAGCAGGAGTTGGCTAGCAGCCACCCCCTGTCCCGGAGTGCCCGGGCCTCCCTTCTCCACTTTGCAGAATGCTAATGCTTTTTCAAGGTGCAGGTCATATGTTACCACCTTCAGGAATTATTTTGTCATCTCCACCAGCCTCACATGGAGTTCGTTTCTTTCATTTGTTACATTGACACCTGTTCAATCAGGTTTTATGGTTGTGTAGGTGTTTATGATTTTCTTCCAGATAATTGCTCTTGGTGAGTAGAATCCCATTCCACTCCCTTTTGTGTCTCCCTTCTCCGGCACATGGCAGTGTTTCATATACACAGCAGATACATGGTAAGTGTGCACTGGATGGATTACAAGCCACTTCTGCAACGTGACCTAATTATGCGGAGGTTCGGGACAGGGCTTTCGCCTCTTGCGTACTCAAAGCCACAGTGTGTTTACTAAAGACTGTCCAGTGCTACCGACTTGTTCAGGGCTGGAATTCGAAGTTACGGAATTCAAATTTTTGTTTCAGCCTTGAGCGGCATTTGTGTCTCAGGAGAAACAAGGAAAGAGCTCAGATTCTCAGTGACTGTGCCTCGGGAGGAAGGGCCATGACCTGGACGTAGTCAAGGAGACTCGTTTAGCAAGAAGGGGTTTGGAGCAGTTTCTTCTGAGCACTCCAAATGTGGATGTCAGCAATGGCCAATCACACGGGCCACTGCAGTGACAAGATAGTGTGCTTTAACGCTTTCTTGAAATTTAAAATGTATTCAAAGAAGGAAATGTGAGTTCTTTTGGCTAGCACGTCACTACGGAGTCCCCTGTAGACTGACCCTTCTGTGTAGAGGGGATTGCGTTTCGAAATGGTCTTTGAGCTTCCAACTGACCCAAGCCTCTCGGGTGGAGTTCTGCGAGGGGAGTAAACCCTCCCTTCTTGGTGTGAGATTAGCTGGTCTGTGTCTCAGAGCCTCCTGCTGCCATGGACTTAGCACTGGGACGTTTCAGCCATTTCAGATCTTAACTGTCTGAGGCCAGAGGCTAAGTTATTCACGAGCTGTTAACCCAATGGACCCCTTTAGAAAAAGTGCTCCTCTCGGAAGATGGGTCCCTCAGTTGAGCGGGTCTCCGTGAACGGCTTTGTCACGTTTGAAACAGTGAGGACCCAGGAACAGTCCTGAAATGCCTGCCCAGTGCCCTGTTTTCTTCAGCTTACTGTCAGGCACCTGTCTGTTCCCTGGTCACTTGGACAAGCTTACACTTGGTTCCACCTTCTCCTTCACTCCTCTTTAAATGTTTTAAAAAATCCCAGATCAGCCCTGGCCGGTTTGGCTCAGCGGTTAGAGCGTCGGCCTGCGGTACAGAGAGACCCGGGTTCGGTTCCCGCTAAGGGCATGTACCTTGGTTGCGGTTTGTCCCCGGCCCTGGTTGGTCGTGCGGGTGGCAGCCACTCGATGTGTCCCTTCACGTCGATGTTTCTCTCTCTCTCTCTCTCTTCCTCTCTCTCCCTCCCGCTCTATCTGAACAAAAAAAAAAGGAAAAATGTCCTCGAGTGAGGATTAAAAACAAACAAACAAACAAACAAACAAACAAACAAACAAAAAATCCCAGATCAGAACACTCAGACATGAGCAACCAACTCCAAGGGAGATGGATGTTCAATTCGGGGTGCCAACGCGACGGGAAGTCGGTGGCTTAGAGAGTGTTGCCGTGTCCGAGGCGGCTGTGCACGCAGGCCCCTCGGAGCTGTGGTAGGTGATACCCACTAAGGAGGCTTAGCCGGAGGACACAGCAGCTCCCCAGCCCCGGGAGTGCTGACGTCAGACGCTTACCCTTGCCTGGAAGTGTATCGTGCTGAACGGGATTCTCACACACCCCAGCCAGTGTCTCTCAACACGAGTGTGGGTTCCGCTTCCTCGCTCCCGGTCGTCCTAAAGGGGGTGGGTGGGGACGACGGCTGAACTCCAGACGCTCACCTACTGGCTCCGCACCGGAACGCAGCAGGGTGTGGACCAAAAGCGCGTGGGCTTCGGTTACCCGACCTCGGCCACATTCTCGCCCAGATGCTGAATGGTTTGGTGAGCCAAGGAAAGCCTGGACCTCAGTTTCCTCATTAATCAGTTGGAGATGTAACAGTCTACTTCATAGCATTATTTTATAATTTAAAAAGTGGATAAAAGCACATGATACAATTCCTGGGACACAGCAGCCGCTCAGTTGAAAATAGAAAAGCTAGATCTCTATTTCTCTTTCCCATTTATACATGTCAAGTTTCCGACACTCAAGTCAGCAGAAGGACAGGAGAGGGGTTCGGGTCCTACAGGAGGCAGAGGGCGGGACAGGGGCGCAGACCTCTCCCTCAAGTGCTGAGCTCACCTCTAGGGCGTCATAGAGCACTTCGTCGAAAATGTTGATGTACACGTCGTCCTTCACCGACTGCACACTGGTGGCGCTGTAGTCCCCGTTCGGGGCCCTGCGAGTGGACACACACGGTCAAGGGGCCGGGAGAACGGGAGAGAGCAAGAACGAGCACTCCAATGTCGACATTGGAAAAGGACTCAAACCTGAGCACGGATGGGAGGATTAGAAGCAGTGCTTCGGGTCAAGGATTTATCTGTACGGGGATGACACCATCACATAAGCCTACACCCAAATGGAAAGGGCACTAACCCTCTGTCTGCTGGCCCGTCCTGGCTGAGTCTCACGTCCTCCCATCCTCGCCCCATGGTGAGCTCTGCAGGGAGCCAGGGCCGAGCTGGCCCAGTGCACGGACTACATACGAGGTCTCCAGCTGCCCCTGGGGTTGGTGTGCGGATTTCCCCAGCAACCAAGCTCTAGAACTTGCTTCTCCAGCGGCCGCTCCCCATCGTGAACCTCCTATTGTCATGTGGCTGGTGGGAGCTCCCTGCGTGCACCTGCTCTCCCTGAGATGGGAAGCAGTGCAGGGCGAGGTTCCTCTCCCCCAACAGCTGCTCTGTGTCCGGCAAGGCCGGGTCCCAGCAGGCTGCTCCGTGGCTTAGTCACAGCCTGGCTACCGCAGGTTTCTGAGCCTCTGCCTTTAACTTCGCTCATTCCTTTGCTTGTACCATGTGCACAGTAGCGGGATCGGCCGCTTTCTCCTGACAACCAGTTCTAACCCCTGCTCTGCCTGCAATTTGCTATGTCACCTAAGCAATCACTTTCATCTTTCGGTTTGTTTCCTTTCCACAAAGTAGAGGGCGGGACTAGATCATTTCTAAGGCGCTTCAAGATTTGAGATTGTGAATCTTAAATATCTAAAATCCTTTTATCAAAAACCTTTATATGTATTTGTGTATATTTTGTTTACTTATTTATTGACTTTTACTAAATGTATTGGGTTACACTGGTTAATACAACCATACAGGCGTCAAGTGTGCAGCTCAATAAAACACCTCACACTGCATCGCATACTCACCACCAGAGTAAGTCTCCTTCCATCACCCCTCACCCCCTGCACCCCTCCCGCCTCTCCCCACCCCATCCCTCCGGCAATCACCATGTGGTTGTGTCTGGTTGTTTTTTTTTGTTTTTTTTTTTTAATTTTCTTAATCCCTTCCCCTTTTTCATCCAGCTCCCCTCCCCCATCCCCTCTAACAGCTGTCCGTCTGTTCTCTATCTCTGTGAGTCTGTTTCAGTTGTGTTTGTTAGTTTATTTTGTTCATTACATTTCACACAGAAGTGAAGTCATGTGGTACTTGTCTTTCTCTGACTGGCTTATTTCACTTAGCATAATACTCTCCAGGTCCATCCCTGCTGTCGCAAAGGGTACGATTTCCTTCTTTTTTAAATGCTGTGTATTTCTGGTAAGGGAAAAGGTTAAGTTGTGAGAACAAGGGAGTTTCACATTTGCTTAAAGCCTCCAGAGTTGGGGAGACGGGAAGGGAAAGGCAGTGCAGGGCCGTGGGCGACGGGGCGGGGAGCCGGGCTGGAGCAGCCAGAGCCTGGAGGAGGCGGTGTCCCAGCACTGCGCCCAGGCCAGCAGCTGACATTTTCCCACACTTCCCCCCGGGAGTCCGCTGTGGTGCACATGGGAAACGGGGGGCTCGGGGTCAGGACCCCCTCTGTGCCAGCCCACCAGAGAGGAGCACGCTCACCTGAACGGGAGTTCCAGTTCCTCGTTCCAGCTGGGGTTCGGTCCTTCGGCCGTCGTCGTGTGGCAAATTGTTCGTTGAAAAGAAACCTCTACAAAGGGACGTACTAGGACCTTAAAATCAAAAGCAAATTGTAGGCGTCCGCACAACTGGTTGAATTATTTTGCTCTTGGCAGAGGTAGAATATGTTCACTAAACAGGGTGCTTCCAAAAAACTCAAGCAGAAAACAGGCTGGGAAGAGTCTGGGCAATTCTTAAAAACCTAAGGGGTAAGGTTCTAAGCAGAGATGGGCGTTCGGGGCTCGCACCTGGCCCAGAGGGTAGTCAGCACTGGGGGCCGGGCTGTGTGGAGCTGGGGAGGCAGCACCCTTCTCGCTGAACGTTCTCGAAGACCGTGGCGGCGGCTGGAATTTGCTAGGAGGGAAAGTGTATGAAAAGATAAATGACAGCGAAAGTCTAATTGTATATTGAGCAGGTGGTTGTTCCAAAGGCGTGTGGCCCGGTGACAGGCGCTCTCTGCAAGCTGACTGACACTTCAGAAGGCTCTCAGTGTCCTCTCGCCATCCCCAGTCACCGAGTGACGACTAGACGCCCTACTTCTACCCCTAAGCCCACCTGAATGGCTCAGAACAGAGGAAAGAGTCCTGCTCCCTCTCCTCTCCTGGGGGCCTGAGTGAGAACGTGCCTTTTCCCCATAAATGAGCCTCCATCCCTCTCAGGTAGCAGAACCCCAACCCTCCTGCCCCGTTTCTTTGTCCCAAACTCCTCTCCTACTGAATCCCTGCAGCGCCGGAACCCGGAGCCGCACACCCCAGGTCAACCTCTCTCTGGCCTCCCCAGCAGGGCTGGGAGAAGCGGGTCAGGAATTCCCGGCTTGAGTGAGGGTCCCCGGGTCTTGTCCGCTTTCTCTTGTAAAGGGCGGCTATTCCTAAATGAAGACGTGAAGGTGGTCTCCAGAGCGCCCCTCCCAGGCACCTGCCCCTCGTCCTAACGACACACTAGGGGATGTGTTCGGAACTCTATGGCTCACCAAGTATTCCGCAGTCATCACTGGACAAAGCATGAGGGGTCCGTTTCTGCCAGACTGTCCCACCTTGTCACATTTCAGATAAACCATGCGACAGTAAAAGTGGAGCATCTCAATACAACAGCGGTCAGAGAGACCCCTTTCCTCTTCAGAACACCGTGGGTCACGTCCTTCCCTAAGTATTGGTAAGCACCGACCGCACGTCAGGCCCGTGTCAGACACCGGCCCAGGGTGGATGGCGGACACGTAACAAATGGTCACAAAAGAGCGGCCGCATGTAGACTAGAGATGAGCATGGGCCTTCGAGAGAGAGCTGAAAATTCTCTTTGGTTGGATGTGAGGTTACAGGATTACGCCCTGGGCAGGCTTGGCTCAAGGGTCGCTCTATGAGCTGTCTTGATGAGTCTACCCTAAAATGTGTAACTCATAGGATCCACTATGCATCCTCGTAATTATTTGAATTAAATTGTTTACACTTAAAAAAATTAGCACAGCCCTGGCCGGTTTGGCTCAGCGGTTAGAGCATCCGCCTGTAGTCCAGAGAGGCCCGGGTTCGGTTCCCACTAAGGGCATGTACCTCGGTTGCAGTTTGTCCCCGGCCCTGGTTGGTCGTGCAGGTGGCAGCCACTCAATGTGTTCCTTTCACATCGATGTTTCCCTCTCTCTCTCCCTTCCTCTCTCTCCCTCCCACTCTGTCTGTACAAAAAATGGAAAAATGTCCTCGGATGAGGATAAAAAAAAAAAAAAATTAGCACAGGCCCTGGCTGGTTCTGCTCAGCAGTGAGAGCGTCAGCCCGAGGGCCGAAGGCGGGTTTGATTCCCGGTCAGGGGCATGTACCTGGCTTGCAGGTCCGATCTCCGGCCCCGGGCCGGGTTTTGCAGGAGGCAAACTATCGATGTGTCTCTCTCACATCAATGTTTCTCTCTCTCTCCCTCCCTTCCTTCCATTCTCTCTAAAAAAACCAATGGAAAAATATCCTGGGTGAGGATTAACAATAACAAAAAATCAACAAAGACCAAGAGTAAGACAAACACCTATGTATTTTTTAACCAAACAGCGTTTCGGTCCACAGCGGCGCTTCGGCGCAGTCACGGGGAAAGGCTTGGGCTCCGGCCCGGGGGCGAAGCCGCAGCTCGGGTTCCAGAGCTTACTGGACACGTTCAAACAATGACGTGGGGACTAGCTCTTGGTGACCAGGGGTTCTGTGATGGGTGAGGAATTAGTTTAAAAAGAAAAGAAAGGGCCCTGGCCAATTTGGCTCAGCGGTTAGAGCGTCGGCCTGCGGTCCAGAGAGACCCGGGTTCGGTTCCCGCTAAGGACACGTGCTTCGGTTGCAGTTTGTCCCCGGCCCTGGTTGGTCGTGCAGGTGGCAGCCACTCGATGTGTCCCTTTCACATCGATGTTTCTCTCTCTCTCTCTTCCTCTCTCTCCCTCCCACTCTATCTGTACAAAAAATAGAAAAATGTCCTTGGGTGAGGATGAAAAAAAAAGAAAAGAAAGGAAAAATAAGAGGGCGAGAGGAGGGAGGGACAGGGAAGGAACCGGGGAGGAAAGGGGATGCCCCAGGCCAGACGGCACTCTCCGTCCAAGGGTGTATGACGTGGACAAGCCCCTTACAGGCCCTTCACTTCCTTTTCCCTTTTGAAACGGAGACGACAGCCTGAGAAGCCGGTGAAAGAATACATCTGAAGCCCCAGCCCAGTGCCTCGGCAGAGGCGAGCGTGCAGCAAATGGTAGCGTCCCTCAGGGACAGCACCCCAAGGATGTTTTAGTTCTCGGTTCCTCCACCTCTGCTCCTAAGGGGAGAGGAAAGCCAGGCTCCCCTCACCCACGGTGGAGGATCTCCACCGCCCCCAGCGTAGTGACACATGGTGGGCACCGTTTCTCCGAGCGGATAAAAGGGGAGTCACATTTCTGTGGTCGCAGCACGTGTGCCCAGAGCCCAGGACGTACAACTTGTGGGTTTCCACCCAGCTCACGCCCACTTCTCTGAGAACTGTCTCCCACCTTTCAGGATGGGTCTTGGTGACCCCGTCTCTCTGGCTGTGGGTGAGCAGACCACCAATCAACACCTGACCCAAGTTAGAACCCTCCGATTCTCCCCTGAGAAGTGGCTGTTTGGTGGGCGGTATCTGGCCGGAGCCCTTCAGTCACATGGAGGGTGGGAGGAAGGAAGCAGACCCGCAGGGAAGAGAGACGCTGGGGTCCCCGAAGAACCCTATTCATCGCTACAGTCTACTCATGTCCTGGAGTTCCCCGAGACAGTCCCAGTAATCCCCCCTTGAGCCCAAGTTGACTGAGTTGGTTCTGCGACCAAGGGGACTCTGACTTCGGCAGGAACGCCCTGCCCCGCAGGACAACACTGTTAAAAGCAGGAGCGGACGGGCTACAAAGAAGTGACCACGTGCCGACCTCCTGCACAGTTCACCCCAGGGCTGTTCCGAGGGCTCTCACCTGGCTGGGGGCTTCCTCACCGGGATGTCGTAAGCCCGGATGATGTTCACCAGCAGCTTGATGTCTCCGTCGGACAGGTTTTGGGCTGTCACCTTCTTCCGACCTTTTCTCTTTGGCCTCAGGGGTCGCTTTTGTTCTGCCAGCTTGAAAAGGCTTAGGCCCAAAATGCTGATGGTTACAGAACAGGGTTAGGGCTCTAAGGAAAAGAGAGATCTGGAAAGTCACGAGACAACTCAAGCTCGCCCCCCACAGGCCCCTGAAAACTCCGTCTTTTTAAAGAGGGTGGAAATGGGCAAGAGTCTCCTAAGATGGGAGCGCTCCTACTGTATGGATTATTAACATTTATTTTAGCTGCCACTGATCAGAGAAAGGAAAGGGTTCCGGGCCCTCCCTGCGGCACCCGTCTTACTGTCCGTCTTGCTTACGCAGCCGCAGCCCCTCAAACCAGCCCTGTGTCTCCTACTGTCCGCCTGTCCTGTCCCAGTCCCTGCACCTGGAGCGCCTCTGTCCCCCACCCTCCTTCCTCACCCACCCTCAGGGCAGCATCTCCCCTTCCCTGTCTCAGCCACATCAGCTGCAAGGGGCTCCCTCCCCCGAGCCCCAACAGCACGAGCTCGCTGCCCTGTCCCCTGGCAGCTGACCTTCACTCCCTCTCCGCCACGTCCTGGCATTCCTCACTCCGGCCTTAGACAGGACTGGGTGTGAGTCCTGGCTCCACTCGCTCTTTGACCTTGAGCAAATGATTTCACCTCTTTAAGCCTCTGTTTCATCATCTGAAAATGGGGCTCATAGCTACCTCCTGGGTGTGGAGAGGAGAGGGCCTGGTCTGGAACCAGCTGAGGTGACAGGGCAGGCGTTGGGCTGCTGAGGGTTATGACGCCAGCACTTGTGTTGGAGGAGGGGCAGGAGGCGGGGTCAGCAGGAAGGGGGAGGAGCACGGGGATCCCGTCTCCCTACCTCTCACTGAGATGAAAGCGACAAGGTCAGAGGCCCGTGGGAGAAAGGGCCATGGAGCAAATACGCCAACGCTGGCTGAGACTGAGAGACTCGGGTGTGACTCGATGTCTGGAAGCTCACAGGACCGACTACCCCAACAGCACAGGACAATGCAGCTGCGCAGAGCTGGCCTCAGGTTGCAGGCACACTTCTCTGCTTCCTACTAGCCGGGCTGGAGCCTCTGCCCAAGAGGCACAGGCCCCAGTGGGCTCTGGAGCTGCTGGTCCCCTCCTGGGGTCTTCTGTCCCACAGAGCACAGAAGAGCAACCGTTCGTCCGCTCCTTCGTGAATCAAGCACAGGCTGGGGCCTTACACAGACCATTTCCACTCCTCACAGGTGAGCGTTCACCCCGCTTTCGTAGGAGGAAACCGGAGGCTCTGAGCGGTGCTATGATTTGCTGAGGCTCCTAACCAGGGCCGGGGAAGCGGGGTTCAACCTCAGCTCCCTCTGACTGCACGGCCATCTTCTTAATATCGACATGCGTTTATGTATTAGCTCACTTACAAGCTCACTGCACGTTAACATAATGTAAAACTACGAAGACGAACTCTTCCTCCAAAACAAAATGTGAGACGAGTGACATTATTTTACATTTTCACGAATCTCCCTTTGCGTGCGCCATTGTCTACATGTCATCATTTTAACTTTCGTTTTACTGAGACGTAACTGAATGCAACATTGTGTGAATTTACGGTAAACGATATGTTGCATTCATTCATTATAACATAATTACCACTATGGCATCAGCTGACACCTCTGTCGCGTCAAACAATTATCATTTCTGTTTCTATGGTGAGAACAATTAAGATCTAGTCTCTTAGTCACTTTGACGTTTGTAAGACAGTGCTGTTGTCTGGCGTCCCCATGCTGTGCATTAGATCTCCAGGACTTATTTATCTGCTAGTTACAAATCTGTACACTGAAATAACATCTCCCAAATTCCCCTACCCGCCCCCCACCCCTGGTAACCCCCATTCTACTCTCTGTTCCCATAAGTTTGGCTTTGCAGATTCCACATATAAGTAAAATCTCATGGTATTTATCTTTCTCTGTCTGACTTAGTTCACTCAGCGTAATGCTCTCTAGGTCCATCCATGCGGTCACAAATCACAGCCCAACTCCTTCAGCACGAGGGCCGCCTTCGTCAGGGGCCCAGCGTGACACATCCCCTCCATGGCTGACGCTGCTCCCCCCGCAGAGAGGGCTCCTCCCGCAGTCAGAATGGGAGCCCCTGGCGCCTGGCACCACTAAATACAGAGACATCTCAGTTTAAAAGCAAGAGCAAATCAAAATTAAAAGAAAGAGAGAACATACCCCGAGCCTTCAGAACTTAATGTAGAAAGTAAAGCAGAAAAAAAAAAGAAAAAGAAAAGAAATGGGAAAACAGCATGAAAAAGTCACCATCTAGTCTAAGTGTAATTTTCATGACTGAATAAAACATGCAATGACTAGACCCTGGGCCTGGAGTAAGAGAAGGGGTTTGTGGGAACTGACGGCGGCACAGCCTCTCTCTGCACGTGGATGGGGCGGCCGTGGACGGCAGTGTTCTGTTCCTTCCCGACTCCGTGGAGGGGAAAGACACGCGTGAACAATAACCTTTCAGGAGCCTGCGATCCCCAGAGAGGGTCCTGAGGCTAGTCCTGAGGCTAGCGGATCCCACAAGAGCACCCAGGAAGAACGTTATCCTCCATCTTTTATGCACCCACCCGAGTTGAGACAATTTGAAGTTTTTTCTAAATGACAGGAAGACAATCAAGCAGACTCAGTCGGTTTCCAACTTCTCCGTAAACATCTGTCCCCCTCCGGCTGCCCTGCGCCTCCCCAAACACAGCAGCTCTCTCCTCCGAGCTGGGGTGCTGGACCCAGGCGGCCCTGCCACCCAGACCCCCTGGCCGCTGCCCGGCGCCCCACCGCCCCAGAGGGAGGGGAGGGATGTCCCCATGGGGAGCTGACGGAGCATGTGGGGCATGTGCAAGAGGGAGGTGCTGCGGGATTCAAGGCTGGGAGGTTGCCGAGGCCGCGGGGGGAGGGGAGGCAGGTCTGGGCACGTGATGGAGAGGCCCTGGGGGCCTGGTTCTGGAGACCCCCACCCGGTGCACTTGCTGGGCATGACTCAGCTTTTACCAGGTTCCAGCGTTATTCGTGGTCCAGATGCACACCGCCCAGGGATAACCATCTTGTGTTTACACGTAATTTTAATAGAACGCAATAAAAGCAATTTTTAGAAGAAGAAACAAAGGTGTGTTTTTACCTGATATTGGGAACTTCTTCTTCGACGACCAAATCCGCGAGAAGAAAATGGTGTTTTGCAATCAGGAAACGATTTAACACCGAGTCCCTAACCTGGGGAAAGAAAGCAGTTTTACTCAAACTGTTCTTGCTTTATGACCTTTATAGTTCCCTGCCTAAACCTGTCCCCCTCTTCACGCCAGTGTCCCCGGGTGCAGCCTCACTGGCCACCTTCACTGTCTCCGCAGCACTGGCCTCTCCCTGCTGTGAATCGCCCGGCTTTGCTCGCTGGTGACAGTCCCTTGGGCAGAGGGTTTTCTGCTTTTCTCTGCTGTGTTCTCAGGTCCTGAAAAGGTCCTGGCACAGTCAAGTTTGCTGAATGAACGAACAAACAAACCAGGACCGTTCTCAGGGCACATGCAACTCAGCAGTGATTCTTCAGTCCTCCCCATTCAGGCTGGTTGACTTCCCAACCCCCCTTTACAGAGGACCTCCAAGTGTCCTCGGCTGGCTTCTTACACAGGAGCCAAGGGCGCATCAGCTGGACGGGGAAACGTACTGTAGCCACGGTAGTCTTTCTTATAAGTTAAATTCATTAAAGACAGGAAGGATGAAAGGGAGGGAGGATAAAAAGGCATTCCAGCTTTCTGGTGCACAGGGCAGTAAGGATGTCATGTACACAACTTCGATTTTATTACAAAGATAGCATGATGCAAACAGTCAAATATTAGAAAACCATGCCTTAGCAATTGAGTCTCTTGTCCTCAAACCCCACTTAAGATAACCACCGACAATAAACTGAAATACATCCTAATGTTTTCATATGTTCCAAAAATGAAGAGAGCCCAGCCGGTGTGGCTCAGTGGTTGAGCGTCCACCCATGCACCAAGAGGTCGCCAGTTCGATTCCTGGTCAGGGCACATGCCCAGGTTGTGGGCCAAATCCCCAGTGTGGGGCACGCAGGAGGCAGCCAGTCAATGTTCTCTCTCATCGATATTTCTATCTCTCTCTCCCCCTCCCTTCCTCTCTCTCTAAAACCAATAAAGAAAAAAAAAATATATTTTTTTTTAATAAAGAGAGCTGTTTATCGATTTCATGTCTGTAACTATGAGACAATAAGCCTTCAGGGTTTAAGCATCACGTAGATATTTAAAAGGATAGAGACATCCCACCTCCCGCCTCCGGATGCTGGCATTTCCCCGTAGGGACTGTTAAAAACAATGTTCCTTACCTGCTGGAGGTACTTGGCTACTGCGGCCCTGTGGCTATCTATGTGGTCCTTGGTCTCAATTACACTTCTGTCTCGTAACCGTTTCTCATAGTCCTAAGAATTAAAAAGGAATGATTTTATGATTTTAAAGTAGTAGTCCTCTCTCATGCCCTTCTTGGGATTAGAGAACGTATCACATGTAGTTCAAGTTCATAAATTATGGTTCTGAATGTCTCTTCCACCTTCCTCTGAACTTCTGGTTCAGAGTTGGTCTTGGACGTGGTGCCGGGATCCGGGGTCAGTGGGTTGATGCCTTTTCAATGGAAGAGAAACCTGTAATTATACCTTGAAATGTTCCTGAGAGAAGAGACAGGGGCCACAGAGGTCACAGTTGCTGTGGTTCAAGCTCACCCAGCAACTCAGCCAAAGCCTCTGCTTAAGCTTTGTCTTCTTCTACCTTAAGCCAAGAAACAAAATAGCAAATAGCATCCGGGTGCAGCTGACTTCGTCACCAACTCGGAGGAAGGTCGTGGGTACTTTGGCTTTATCTGCTCAGGCATGTTCCTCTCCTTTTCCATCAACAACATTCCCTGTGGGCCCAGCGAGCTGCCGTCTTCTCCTTCGACCCTGTCCTGGTCCCACGGGATGCTCTGGGGCCTGCAGCCCACTGTGTGACTCAAGTGCTGGTCCCGAGATTGTAAACTTGGGCCAAGAGGACACACCGCTCCCTTCCGACTGACACTACTAGGTGTGAGCTTGGCTGATGTTGGGGACCGTGGGGTCAAGCGGAGAAAGTCTGTCCACAGTGAGGGAAAATGAAGCCAGACAGGATGGGGGAGGGTCCTGGTGCCACCGAGGCACACGTGCACATCTGCCCCCCATCTTTAGCTATTTAGCCCCATTTTGGGATTTCACCTCTCAGTAAACTCTCCTTGGTGCCCGAGTTCGTTCGAATTGGGCTTTTATCACAATCACAAGTCCAAACAAGGCAGACGAGAACCAAGTAGCCAAAATATTCCCCAAGAACAGCTTCTGCATGAAGTCTTTCCGGTACCAATGTCCAGCAGTTTGTCCACTTACCTCATCAAATTCAAACTTGTCCGTCTGCATTCACGGGCCTGCCCCCCTCCCCACAGGTCTAATACCCGTGAGCCCTCAAAGATCCCGCCCCCACAGTCCCTGGATTGCCCCTGGCCCAGCCAGGCTCTGCATCCTGCCGGTGCCCAGGACGCCCAGCCCTGTCCCCACTTCCCCAGGGCTGCTCACCCCGGGCTGTGTGCTACCTTATCGGATTAAAATGGCATCGAACTCCTAAGGCAGGCAACTTGCCCTATTAATAGTCAAGATATTTCTCAACCCTACAGTTCTAAGTTTTCTTCATTTATGGCAGTCACTATAATGAGATACGAGATAATTTGAACATTGAATGCAAGAAAAATAGTGGAAAGGTTCTGTAAGTGCTGAAAAGAGAAACTGGTACCGCTACTGGGAACAGATCAACGACAACAAAACTCCCAGAGACACATTCACTCAGTAGCCCGGCGACATTTCATCACAGCCGTTTCTCACCTGGAATACCTTTTCCATAATTTCTCGGTCATAGGCTGGGATGGGCTTGTAGTTTCGGAACTCCGGCACCTCTTGGCTTCTGAGACTCAGGAGCCTGAATCGTTTGGCTCTATTTAGCTCCTCATCCGAGACGAAGTTGAACTCCTGCTGCAGCTGCTCCAGTCGAAAGAAGTCGGGGACGTAGGGCTCACCGCTGGTGGCAACCTGCAGGCACAGGAAACACGACAGGCTGGACCGCGCGGGCTCCGTCCAGAGGGAGCCGGCCCGAGCTTCGAGCTTCGGGAGCGGAAGCTGAACTGTTCTAGATGAGAGACGGGACATGGACCGCGTCTCATTTACAGACGAAGTACGTGAGAGGGTAATGGTAACGAGGCAGGTGCCACTACATTCAGTTCGTAGCTATAAAAAGTGCCACAAATAGTTTTTCCAAAGAAATAAAAATGATAAGGTTCATTTTGGGGATGCACGCTCCCCTAATAGGTGTTATAAAAACACACAGACTAAAAAATGAGACATTTATAATAGAGTATTACTAGGTGTCTACTGAAAATAAGATTACCATATGCACAGTGTATATAAAATTTACTATGTGTGTTTTAAATACATACATATATTTAATTAAATGTATTGAGGTGACATTGGTTAATAACATTATACAGGGTTCAAGTGTACAATTCCATGACACATCATCTGTATGTTACATGTGTGCTCACCACCCCCCGCCGAGCCTTCCTGCATCACCATGTGGTTGACCCCTTTACACTCCTCATGTTTGAAATGCAGTTTGCAATACATTTGCATACACACGTATGCAGACAGAAGCACCGGAGCCGGCCAAGCACCTTCGCTCAGCGCCAGGGCCAAGGCCTCCTGTCCCTGAAGCACCTCTTGGCCTTGCTCATTGAGAAGTGAGCCAGAGATGGGCCGGGGTGCCAGCCCCCATGCGTCCGTCCAGGGCACAGAAAAGATGCCTTCAGTACCCCTGCAGGCTGAGTGGGGTGGGTGCTTTGGCAGCTGCCACCTCCTCCTGGGCAGAAGGGAAGCCCGAGAGAGGTTTGCTGGGGCTCTGTGCCGGGGACAGGGACCCCGCTGTGAAACTCCTGGTGCAGGGAAGGAGGCCAGTGGGAGAGAGGTTTGCTGGGGCTCTGTGCCGGGGACAGGGACCCCGCTGTGAAACTCCTGGTGCAGGGAAGGAGGCCACTGGGAGAGAGGTTTGCTGGGGCTCTGTGCTGGGGTCAGGGACCCCGCTGTGAATCTCCTGGCGCAGGGAAGGAGACCAGCGGGAGAGAGGTTTGCTGGGGCTCTGTGCTGGGGTCAGGGACCCCGCTGTGAAACTCCTGGTGCAGGGAAGGAGGCCAGTGGGAGAGAGGTTTGCTGGGGCTCTGTGCCGGGGACAGGGACCCCGCTGTGAAACTCCTGGTGCAGGGAAGGAGGCCAGTGGGAGAGAGGTTTGCGGGGGCTCTGTGCTGGGGACAGGGACCCCGCTGTGAAACTCCTGGTGCAGGGAAGGAGGCCAGTGGGAGAGAGGTTTGCGGGGGCTCTGTGCTGGGGTCAGGGACCCCGCTGTGAAACTCCTGGTGCAGGGAAGGAGACCAGTGGGAGAGAGGTTTGCGGGGGCTCTGTGCCGGGGACAGGGACCCCGCTGTGAAACTCCTGGTGCAGGGAAGGAGACCAGTGGGAGAGAGGTTTGCTGGGGCTCTGTGCCGGGGTCAGGGACCCCGCTGTGAAACTCCTGGTGCAGGGAAGGAGGCCAGTGGGAGAGAGGTTTGCTGGGGCTCTGTGCTGGGGAAGGGACCCCGCTGTGAAACTCCTGGTGCAGGGAAGGAGGCCAGTGGGAGAGAGGTTTGCTGGGGCTCTGTGCCGGGGTCAGGGACCCCGCTGTGAAACTCCTGGTGCAGGGAAGGAGGCCAGTGGGAGAGAGGTTTGCTGGGGCTCTGTGCCGGGGTCAGGGACCCCGCTGTGAAACTCCTGGTGCAGGGAAGGAGGCCAGTGGGAGAGAGGTTTGCTGGGGCTCTGTGCCGGGGACAGGGACCCCGCTGTGAAACTCCTGGTGCAGGGAAGGAGACCAGTCCCGAAGGCGTCCCGGTGCTTCTACCGGAAGGCGCCCAGTTACAGAGGGAACATGATGGTGACGCCTGTCCTTTGTTACTTCTGATGTCAAGATAGCCATCAAGCCCAGCCGGGTGGCTCAGTGGTTGAGCCCGGACCCATGAACCAAGAGGTTGCTGGTTCAATTCCCGGTCAGGACACATGCCCAGGTTGTGGGCCTGATCCCCAGTGGGGGACATGCAGAAGGCGGCCAATTGATGTTCTTTCTCATGGATGTTTCTGCCTCTCTCCATCTTCCTTCCTCTCTCTCTAATCAATAAAGAAAAAAGACAGCCATCGAATCGTAACTTGAAAACTACATGGAATAGACTGCCCTTCAGGTAATGTGACCTGTTCCGACATTTCTCTCATCCACACTGCAGGTATCATGCTGTGAGGAGAGTTTATAAAGACAAAAGTCAGAAGTCTGCTTTGGGACTTCGAAATATTGGAAGAGAAATGAACATTTTCATCCTAGTTATAGTTAGCCCACTGGCGAACCTCTAAGCAACGTGGCCGTGGGGTGTGTTGCTAGAGTCACTTTCTGGATCATCTGCTTGTTTATGATGTTTCTGTGGGAATTATTATCTTGGGAACGTAAACATTTGTATCTGATGTCAAGAAAAATCATTTACTGACTAATGACCCATTTTGCTTATACATTTACTGAAGAAGAATTCTGAACGTTATGATAGATACAAGCAACTTATCCCATAAATACTTAAATGAAAGCTAAATAATAATCAAATTAATCATCAAATAAGACCACAAACAAAACCACAGTTCCTTAAAATGGCCCGTCGGTCCACCCAGGTGAGATGGAAGGGCACATACCCTGAAGTCAGATGCACTTGGATCTGAGTCCTTAACAGCTCTGTGACCTTGAGCAAGTAGCTAAGGGGAAGATGAACCCTTTCTTTGGGGGTTTCACAGAAGTTTGAGGTGAGAGTAGCAACAGCAGCAGCTGGTGTTCGCTGCACACCGAGTGTGTGCCCAGCAAAGTGTTGGTCGCGGCTGGCCTGTATCGAGACGGCCCCGTGGGGCAGCTCGGGGCTCCGAGACCTGAGTGCCAGCCGTGCTCACACAGCGCTGTAGGCCCAGAGCTGGAGCTGGGGCCTGCCCTTCACTCCGCCCTCGGGGTCTTAGGCACGACCGCAGAGAACAGTAGGCAGGACAGTGTGTGCAGGAGTGAGCGATTCCCACTCCCAGCACACCCCGGCCAGACGCAGCGCGTGTGCCGGTTCTGCCACATTACCGAGACCAGCTGCATCAAAGGGGCATTGCCGGGGTCGTTCGGATCGAGCTTGGACTCTGCTGCCCACTTAGCCAACTTCTTCATGTCCGTCAGTCCTGAGGTGCCAATCGATAAGATGGCATCGGCTCTTTTCAAAGCACTAAAAAAAAAAGAAAAAAAAATTTGCACCATGAGGCGGACTTGACCTCAGAGCAGTCTGCACCAGGACCACAAAACCCCAGGGACGTAGTGTTTAAGGAAGCTCTTATTCTCCACCCACAAAACCTCATGCTAAGGATGGACTTCTGCCATTTTTCTTTACTTGGAGGTTGTTTTAAAATATCTTATAAAGATAGTAAATAGCCCGACCAGTGTGGCTCAGTGGCTGAGCGTCAACCGATGCACCGAGAGGTCACTGGTTTGACTCCCTGGGTTGTGGGCCCGATCTCCAGTGGGGGGCGTGCAGGAGGCGGCCAATAGATGTTCTCTCTCATTGATGTTTCTATTTTTCTCTCCCTCTCCCTTCCTCTCTCTCTTAAATCCATAAAGAAAAAAAAAGACAATAAATATGGTGGTGGAGGAAATATTTACAAACCACACATCTGATAATGGGTTAATATCCAAAATACCTAAGAGACGCATACAACTCAATAGCAACCACCCCCCCCAAACAATCAAAAACTAGACATGGGAACTAAACTGACATTTTTCTAAAGAAGGTGTTCAAGTGGCTGACTGGTCCGTGAAAAAGTGTTCAGCATCACTAATTATCAGGAAAATGCATATCAAAACCACAATGAGATATCACCTCACACTTGTTAGGATGACTATTACCAAAAACAGAAGAGATAATGAGTGTTGGCATAAGATAATGTGGTGAAAAGGGAACCCTCATGTACTGTTGATGGGAATGTAAACTGGTGCATCCTCGCTGGGAAAGAATATGGAGGTTCCTCATGAAATTAAAAGAACTATCATGAGATCTGGCAATCTTATTTCTGGGTATTTATCCGAAGGAAACAAAATCACTATCCCTAAGAAGTATCTGCACCCCCATTTTCACTGCAGTATTATTTACAATAGCCAAAGTATGGAAACCATCTAAGTATCCACTGGCAGATGAATGAATAAAGATGTGGTATTCACATATGAAGGAATACTATTTAGCCATAAAAAAGGACATCCTGCTATTTTCAACAACATGGCTGAATCTAGAGGACATTATGCGAGGTGAAATAAATATGGCAGAGAAAGACATATACTGTACAAGTTCACTTATATATGGAATGCAAAAGAACCCACATTTATAGAAACAGAGAACAAACTGGTGCCCGAGGCAGGGAGTGGGGAAAATGCGTAAAGGTAGCCAAAAAGTACAAATTTCCAGTGATAAGATCCTGGGGTGTACCAAACAGCAAGGTGACTAGAGTTACCAACACTGTATTGTATATTTGAATGTTGCTAAGAGAGTAAGTCTTACAAGTTCTCATCACAGGGAAAAAAATGGGTAACTGTGTGGTGGTGGACTTACCGTGGTGATCATTTGACAGTATATTCATATATCAAATCATTATGTTATACACCTTCAACGTGTTCAGTGTTATATGTCAGTTACATCTCAATAGAACTGGGAGAACGAAAGAGGTATGGAGGGAAGGAATGGGAATGTGCTGTTCCTCCAGGCGCCCAGAGCAGGTCAGTGTCCCGAGTCCCTGGATCTAGGCCAGTGAAAAGGCGCCTGGGAACCTGGTGCAGGGTGCCCAGGCTCACACCCGGGCAACGTGTAGCTGAGACCCAAAAACAAAGAGAGAGGGAGAAAATAATGATGCAACTAACATAAGCACCAACTTTGGACAGGACCGAAGTCCACGGAGGCCAGGCTTGTCAGCACTGTTATGAACAGGGCTGTGTTTCTCATTAACTTGCCTGAGTGGGAGCTTTAGTCCCAGGAATTTCCCTAGAGTGAAACTCATTGGAATGAATGCAAACTGCGCATCCTCAGGGGCGCACACAGCCTGCACCGGGAAAGGCTGCTGGTCCCCGGACGGGGCATGTGCAGAGCACCGCATCCTTGTCGTTGTCATCATGCGGACACGGGTTTGTGCTGGGATGGAGAGAGGAGACGGGACGGAACAAGCCTCCTCTATTTTTCTACATGTTGAAAATGACAGTCTGTGACTTGGACAGTGTCTCCTCAGTGATCAGAATACATCCTTTTATTTTGTAGATGGGGCTCTGAGGCCTAGGATGGTAAAATGATCAACTCAAGGCAAATCTATTGAAGAATGACAGAGGCAAGACTGGAACCCAGGACACCTGGCTCCCACAGTCCAAGCTGCCTGGACAGGCATCACCCACAAAGAGAGGGGGCCCGGCTAGGGGTCTCTTTCTTCTGTTGTTCTGAGTAAAAGCTAAGAATCTAGTAATCAAGGAAGGAGACTGAGCATAGGGACTTTCATCTAACCAGAAGGTCCGATGCCAGTCCTCATTAGCAATGAACTTCTACAACTGTGTGGGGCTTACTGCCGGCTCTGATTAAGAGGGAGAATACTCCAGAGTTTTTGTGAAGTATAAATAACAGAAAGTGCTTTCACTATCTCTGACACTGATAAACACCAAAGTTCGTTAGGCCATTCATATTTTAAATTTTGCCATAAGAACAATAAAAACCCCTGAAAATACTGGCATAGGACAATAAAAGGAAATAATGTGATTTTTCCCCTTTGGATATCACTCGTGCTAAGGCCGACATGCTCAGGAGTTTAACCCCAGCCCCACGTTACCTCCTAACTCCGGTGTTCTGTTGGGACAGCGCAGGAGGTAAAGGTGTCCCGTTTTCTCCAACAGCCCATGCCACACTGTTGGACACTTTTCCCGAGGTCATCAGAATCATTTGATTACTACCGTCAGCTTCAAATGACAAGGGCACACCTAGGGAAACACCACATCAAACGTTTAGAAGGAGGGAGCGAGCCCGTCCCAGAAAGAAAGCAGACATGAGACGGTGGAATGAGCAGGAGGGGTGGCGGGGATGGGACACAGGATTCAGCATCACTGACTTCAGGCGATGAGGAAAGACGGACAAATGTTAAATGCAATGTAGTATGTCACAGAGTGATAAGTACAAAAGAGACACATAAATTAAGGAAGGTATATAGAAAGTATGTGTTTTGGGGGGTGGGGAGGAGTTGAACTTTCAGATGGGGTGGCCAGGGAGGCTCCATAGGAGAAGCCTTCTGGATAAAGGCCTGAAACAACTGAGCAGGTGGGACATCCTGAGAAAGCATTTCTTGGCAGAAGGAACACGTGTACGCGCCCCGAGGTGGGAGTGTGCCTGGAGAAGAACAGAGGGTCAGGGGAGGCCACGCTGCAAAGCACTTAGTGCCGGGCAGTGACCACGCACAGTGTTCGCCATTGCTAAGCACGGGGCCACAGCACAGCCTCCCTGATTTGGCCCCCACTCTATGGAAACGAGACAAGAAGTCTCTGGGCAGTATGTTTAATCAAGTAAGGAAGAAAGAGATTTTCAAGCACTAAATATAGCAACTTCACAGGCTAGATTTCCAGTTGGTATTATTAACATGAAACATACCACTGTTACACTGTAACAGCATCTCTGTGTTCTTCCAGGACTTTTGCTACATATTAAACATCCCATCTTGGTCTTTAAAGTAACCTTATAGGGCTCTGAAGGAGGTAGTACTAGGTCTATTTTGTGAGCGAGGAAGACAGTATTCAAAGAGGTTATGTGACTACTAGGGTCACACAGCTTGTCAGTGTCAGAGCTGGAACCGAAGCCTAGGTCTTCGGGGTGTCAGACTGATGGCTGGATATGACCTCGCAGCTCTCTAGATATGACCTCACAATAAAAAACCACCAGACGCTTGGGGAAACAGCCACCTTGAACAAATGACAACAGATCAGACCGATAAGCAGATGAGTGTTAGAATGATCAGATGCAGAATATTTTAAAAAATTTGTAATATGTTTGAAAAGTAAAGTAATGAATGAATAAAAAACTGAGTCCGAGAAAAGGACACACACAAAAAATCGCAACTGACCAGACTGATTGGAAAAGAACTAATAGAATAGCTAGAGGTGAAAAATACAAGAATTGAAATGAGAAATGCAATGATGAGTTATATGGATTAGGCACAGCCAAAGAGAGAATTCATGACTTGGTAGACAGATATAAAGAAATTACACAGCATGTAGCAGTGAAAGAAAAAGATATCAAGTATAAGAAACAGAGAGGAAAGAGTGAGGCACTCCATCATTTATCCAACCAGACTGCAGAAGGTAAGAGATAGAACATTAATTAATAACCTCCCTATTATAATTATTTAAGTTATTTCAAACTTTTCAGCTTTAAAATCATACCATGATGTACATTTTTCTGCACACAACTTTGTCCTCATTTCAAATTATTTTCTTAGGAAAGATTCCTAGACGTGGAATGAAGGTATCAAAGGCATTCGAATGGTCCTTAATTCACACTTCCGAACTACTTAATACTTGCAAAGTTCTATGTATTGACTAGCCACTAGGAATATACAAAAAATAACTTTGTAAAAATTCTGTATTGTTATTGTTTCCATTTGAATTTCTGATAGCAATATTAGAATTATCTGGTTGACTGAGAGTGAAAAGAAAGTTATGTTCACATCCAACAGAGAAACTGAGCCATGGAGGATAATCAGCGGTGCGTACCACTTCCAACTCCCTCGTGGTTCAGGGTCACATGCTGGTTGCTGCTGAACTCCACTTCTTCAATGGGAGCCCTTCCGGAGACAACCGTGGCTTCAGGAATCGGCAGAAACACTTCTGCTAGCAAGGTGGTACCACCGTGTCCGATTGTTTCAAATACCTGAAAGAGAGGAAGAGAGACAGCCACATGAAAGTGGCAACAGAACACCTATTGAATAGGAAGATGTTTGCAAATGTTACCAAAATATATAAAAAAAAACTCATACGACTTAATGCCAAAATAACCAGAAAATCTAATTAAAAAATGGGCAGAGGACCTGGGTAGACATTTCTCCAAAGGGGACACACAGATGGCCAACAGACATGAAAACATGCTCAACATCGCTAATTATCAGAGAAATGCAAACTAAAACCACAGTGAGGCATCACCTTACACCTGTCAGAAAGGCCGCCATCAATAAAACAACAAATCAGCGATGAAGGGGATGTGGAGAAAAGGGACCCTCTCCTTGTTGGTGGGAATGTAAATAAGTGCGGCCACTATGGAAAACAGTGTGGCAATTCCCACCAACTTAAAAATAGAGCTGCCATCTGATCCAGTGATTCCACTTCTGGATAGTTATCCAAACAAAACAAACACACTACTTTGAAAAGATATAGCACCCTGTGTTCACTGCGGCATTACCAATAACAGCCGAGATGTGAACGCAACCTAGATGTCCATCAGTAGGTGAATGGATAAAGATGAGGTACATATACACAACAGAATATTATTCAATAAGAAAGAGTGAAATCTTGCCCATTTGCAATAACATGGATGGACCTAGAGGGTATTATGCTAAGTCAAATAAGTCAGAGAAAGTCAAATACCATATTGTTTCGCTTATACTATGTGAAATCTAAAAAAATAAAAGCGAACTAAATGAACAGACAAAACAAAGCAGACACAGACACACAGATTAAGAGAACTTGCTGACGGGGAGAGGATGGGAGGACGGGAGCAAAACATTAAACAGAATAAAGAGTGAAGAAAGAAGGGCAGGACCATAGGCTAGTACCAGACCCTGTTGTCAGAGGAAAGGAAAGCATGACAATAAACAGAGCGAACAGCAGAAACGGCAGAAAGCTCAGGGACAGGCCGTCCTCAGCAACCCCCCAGAGGGTTCAGTATTGTGGTAGAAAAACAACGTTTATGGAAAATTTCACACACATGTCATCCTAGAAGGTTAGTATACCATGAACCCATCACCTAGCTTCACTACCATTAATTTATGGTCAATTTGTTTTCATCTTATTCTCAACCATTCCTCTCTCTACCACTGTTTCGATCCCTCATTTGATCTGTAAATATTGCAAATATGTATCATTAAAGATAAAGATAGAGCCCTGGCCGGTTGGGCTCATCAGTTAGAGCGTCGGCCTGCGGTCCAGAGAGTCCCGGGTTCGGTTCCCGCTAAGGGCACGTACCTCGGTTGCAGTTTGTCCCCGGCCCCAGTTGGGGTCGTGTGGGTGGCAGCCACTCGATGTGTCTTTCTCACATCAATGTTTCTCTCTCTCGCTCCTTATCTATCTGAAGATAAATGCAAAAATGTCCTTGGATGAGGATAAAAAAAAAAAGATAAAGATATAAAAAAGCGTAACTACTATACCACTATCACAGTAATCCCTCGATTATGTCAAATCTCAGGAAATTTCACATTTGCTTTAGAGCCTCAAACAATTATTGTAACACTTTGAATCAGGATCCAAATGTATTCCATATATTATCGATATGTCCCTTAAGCCTCTATTAATTTATAGGTGATTCCCCTTTCTTTTTATACTTTTTACTTTTTTATACTTTTTCTCCATTTTTTTTGTTGGTTCAGAACTCTAACGGAAAAGAAGTTGCTTGTCCCAGCCTCTCATAAGGGCCCAGTTTTACAATCTGACACAGTTTAATGAACAGGTAGCTGGTTATTGTTGATGGCACAGGACACCTTGGTGTGGCCTGTTAAGTTCTGAGCTCATTGGCACAAACTTGTAGCCTGAGAAAATGGTATGGTTTCTTGTCTTTTAAAACCTTTTTACGGTATAGCAAATTAACTCATCGAGATATCCCTTTATGGGAAGCACACCAGGGGCATAGGTTTGTTATCTAATCTTTGCCACTTTCGCCTGTGTTTGCTTTGACTCAACAACCCTGGGGCAAGATGACCTGCTTCCAACTGAGAATTGTCTGGATAAGATGAACATAGACAAAGGATTCTGTTCCATCATGAAGTAAAGTTTATATTGCACGGTTTTAAATCACAATCCTCTGATTCTAACACAAGACAAACGGTTTCCTCTCCTGCACTTGGTAATGTTGAAGCCGCCCGGAGTGGATGCTTTCATCCCCACTGCTGTTCACCAGTCTGCCAGTCGCGTGGGGGCTCGTGTCCCCATTGCCCCTCCGTGTCGAACCAAGCCTTTCCTATCCCTGGGCCACAGACTCCTTCCTTCAATGGAACCCACTCAGAGCCGGGCCCTCCCCCTCCCGTCATCACTCCCATCGCAGGACCTTCCTATCATGCCTAACCCACTCCTCCCAGTATCCACTATCCCGAAGAGTCTGGTCCCTCTCCTCCCCCCGCCCACCCACTGTCTCCACCTCTCTCCTGGCTGCTTTTCCTGTGGCTGACAAGCATCCTCGAATCAACCGCATCCTGAAGTAAGTAAACCATGGTCCCTTTCCAAAACCCTGATCAGGCCCCTACTCCCCTTCTCTGCCAAGCCTCTGGTTGGGGGGAGCCTCCTCTGGGTACCTTCATTTTCTCTGCCGACATCCATCAGACTCAGTCACCAGGTCCTCCTGTCATTTCCCCCAGCAGTCTAACGGCGTGTCATGGACCACACCCAACATCCAGTTCGTCTTCCTGTTCCCCAGTGCTTGGCACAGTGCATCTGCTCAGTGGAACACCTGGGAGGCGGAATGTCCCAACTGCAGGTGGCGGCAGCGTGGAGAGGTGGACAGGGGGCCGGGTTCTGGGGGCTGGGCCCTGGCTCTGGTCCTTTCTGGCTGTGACCTCAGCCAGTTACTTAACTTCTCCATACTGCAGTGCAGCTGGACACTAACACAGCTACCTGGGACTCTTGTGAGGATTCACTGAGCTCATCTACAAAAAATGGCGCCCGGCAGGTGGTCATCCTCCAGTAACCATCGTCTTATACTAAATAGTATCGAACACCAGCACAGCGCAGTGCATAGTGATGCCTGAGCTTGTTTTCCAGAACTTTCCCCACAGGAAGCAGTTCTCAGAGTGCAGAGATATGCACATTTTGGGCTTTGCTCTTCTTTATCATTATGCCCAGTGCACATGGTGACCTGAGCCTGACATTTAGAGTCAAGCAGAACAGGGTTGGAATTCTGCTCTGCCACGGACTTGCTTTGTGCTACTAATTACTCAGTATCGCAGGAGCTCCATTTTCCCACCTTTAAAATCGGGAGACTACAAGTGCCCCTGGTTTTCTGCAGGATAACGAGATCGCATAAGTAAAGAACGTGCGCCTGAAGTCACATCTGTCAGATGTTATTTTCTAAACCTTTCCCCCATTTGCACGGGCCCCTGTCCACTCCGAGCCCCACCTCCTCCTGTTTAGATGACGCCACCTGTCTTCACCTGGCCCTGTGCGATCCCCTCTCCTGTAGCCGCCGCTGCCCTCCACCTGCTCTGGCCCCCGGCTCCTCCGCCCTGCACACTCTGGGGCTCCTGGCATCCACTCCCCTTGGCTCCTAGGGACGCTCTCAACAGTCTGACTCATCCATAGATAAGACATGTGTGAAAAAACACGTGTCCTGGCCTTATGTCCACAAAGACTGATGACCGCCACAAAGGGAGCTGGCAGGGTTGACAAGGGCCCCTCTCCAAACAGGATTTCCACTCCAAGAGTGCAATTCCGCCTTCGAGCGGGAGAACTCAGGGAGGCCCCGGGAAGGGAAACTCAAGAAAGAGCCAACGTGGTTCGAAGGAAACCTTCCTGCCTCAATCCACATGCCAGGAGTATGAAAGCTCCACAGGACTGATTCCTAAGAACAACTGATGCTAAAACCTGTGCGAGCCGCCCAGCTGGGCTACACCACAGCTGTGGGTTAGGGGGAGTCGGGAAGGTGAACATGGGTGACGATGCCACACATGTGAGTGATACGTAAAGAAAGAGGTGCAATCACCCCACGCTCTTTCATTTCCAAATCAATGTTCATTTCTGTAAAAGGCCCAGCCTTCATTTTGCAAAGACCTCAGAAGCTCCAACTCGCCTGCCCCTTGCAATCCGATCGCACCCCTCCCTTGGGGCCAACTTGGACTCTCCTCCATCCGCTGTCTTAAGTCAAACTGTCATCAAGTGCTGTCAGGTCCTCCTCTCCAGGCTGCAGTATTGCTCTAATTAATTCCTTCCTCCCCTCCCCACTGTCAGGCCCGACCCATCCCCTCCTGGCTTTTCGTCTGGACTTTTCTCTGCTCTGAAGGGCGGCCTTGGCACCCGCACCTCCAGCCTGCCAGGAAGCACTGAGCCTCACGGATCAGAACGCCCGAGAAACCACCCAGCACAGTCCCTGTCTTCCCTCCCAGGGGCCTGCACACCACTCCCGGCTGAGCACTGGTTGAGTAGTTCTCGCTCTCTTGTCTCCTAGCTGGGTTCGCAGGTCCCAGAGACAGGGTCGTCTAGCCTCCATCCTACACATGGCTCCCACCCCCCACCCCCCACGCCTGGCTCAGTGCCGGACACTCGGCTGGCTCTTAACAAGCAAATAGCAAGCATTCCTGCCTTGCCTGTTGATTCGTCGGTTGGCACATTATAGTTTTGAGAATCTCTGAGTTTTTTCTGAAATAATGAGGGTCTAAAGTTAGGGATTTGATAGCACTGGCAGAGACAGATGCATCTACAACCTTCCCTAATTCAAAACTTGCAACGATATGTAATATTTCCAAGTGGCATAGTACTAGTCCTAGAGGGCTGAAATACAATAGCCCCTAAATTAATTTCATCTGTAACTGTGACACAATCCTAGGAAATTATGCCATGAGCTCTTATGACTTGGGATTCGATCACTTACTACATATTTATAGATAGCTTATGAATTTTAAGCAAGACTCATTTGTAATTTTTAAAAGAAGATTATATGATTCAGCTATTTGGGTAGAGCTAAGCTAATTGCCTATGAGTATATTCTTGGTATTATAACATAAAGCTTTGCTTGTTTATTTAAAAAAAACTGTTTTGATTGTAACAGACACAGCAAGCTAATATTCAAGACAGCACACAGGACATAGTATAGGGCTTCTCTGATATTTTAGGATATCTATGAAATGAAATACTGGTGCACTAGTGGAAGGTGGAGGAGGTCTTTCCTTCAGAAAATTCAAACTGTCCAGAATGCCTGCCAGGTGGTCCGATCAGCGGGCGTGGCGGGGCACCTGCCACCTGTCCTTTGATCAGTGGGACCTCTCCTTCCTACCTGCCATCTTATCTGCTGCTCGCCCACCCGCACCAGCTGTCCCCAACATGGGTCTTCTCATGGCTTCTCCTCTGCAGGGAGGAATGGGGAGGAGGGTTAGGGACAGATCTCAAACCGGGGGACACGCTCTGAATAACTGAGGTCTTTGCTCCGCTGTGGATGGAGGATGGGAGAGACGCATACAGGGGCCCCCAGAGACTCCTTATTAAGGGCAAGTGACAGCAAAGTGTCCCCTGAAAATTGTGCTCATTTACTTCCTCCATCATGTTTCATTCTTTAAATATTTTTTCTTTATTAATGTTAGAGAGAGAGGAGGGGAGAGGGGGAGAGAGAGAAACACTGATGAGAGAGAACATCGCTCTGCGGGCTCCTGCCTGCCCCCCAGTGGCTTTTTCCTCACCATATGCTGAAGGTGAAGTTCAATAACACATTCAGTTCTACTTTGTTCAAGTTCCAGAACACACAGGCGTTTCCTTACACATTCAGGGGGTTTAAGGAATCACACGACTGACTGGACTGAACCAAGTGCGAACATTTCAAACAAAGACTCTCAGTTGTCTAGATACACATGCTGTTGTCAGTACGGCAAAAAAATTCAGTTTGGGTCTTGATGCTCGGTGCTCTGTGACTGGGGATCCCCCTCGGCCCTCGCCACCCCCAGGTCACTAGTGAAAAGCAGGGGACAAATCGCCAGTGCGAGGTGGCTGACCTTGGTTGTCCAGTGCTGACCCCATTTCTCGGCTCCTCTACTTCATTCCAAGCCTGCCCACTATGCTTCCTTCCCACGGTCAAAAGAACTCCCCTATCTTAGTTGTCTCAGATTGTTATTGTTGTAATTAGCTAGTTAATATTAATGAAGAAAAAAAGCAAAAGGAAGTCAGCACTGTGGGAAGCTTCACCAGGAAGCTACAGCTTCACACAACATCGTTCCTCCGAGGGGATTAACTCCCTCCCTTCCCCCATCTGGTCCCGGATGGCTGGGCGGGAGGAGGGGATGGAGATCGGCACATGTGCAGTAGAAGTCGGGTGGTGCAGGGAGGCTAGCCTGGGGAACAGTGGATTGGCTAGGGGACGCACTCCATCAGAAGCTTGCTAGATCTCGGAAAGTTAACTGGTGAGTTGGAAGAAGCTCCTGGTCAAAACCCCTAAAGAGTTCCCTGTCTCTTGCTCCATGACCCACACTCGCCGTGGGCTCCCTGTTCTCTCCCCCCAGCCACGTGGCCTGAGCAGCAGCATGGCTCACGGCCGTGGGGACCCCACCGCAGGATGCTGGCCCGGGCTGTGCTGTAATATGGAGCAGGGACTGCGGTCGTGACCTTTAGTCTGAGCCTGCTGAGGACACGGTTGGATTTTTCCATGGGACAGTGGAAATCCAGGGGTTCATTTCCACCTGAATAAATGTTACTCATTGTCCCGTGTGAGTCTCAGGAAATTCTTTTCCTTGTGACACCGCAAGGACTGCACTTCCATGGATAACAAAACTTCTCGTACCCATTTCAGAAGGTTTTTAACTACCAAGAGGTCTAGGCCGGGGTCGGTATTCAACATGCTGAACAATGCCCACTGCCAAGGGCGAGCCGATCCGAAGGGATTTCAGCTGCACAGGGCAGGATCCTGGCGGCACTAGCCCTGTTCGGACCCGGCTTTACCTGGTCCCTTGTGGGAAGGCCCGGGGGTCTGGAACTGAGGTCCCCGTGGTCAGGGTGGCATTTTGTGGGATCCAGGTCGGCAGCTACCTACCGTTCGGTACAGATGTATTGAAATATTTTAATAAGTGTACAGCTGCAATGGCACCTGCAGACTTAATGTTAATTACAGTGAGCAGGTCGCGGTGGAGTCCTGTGTTGGGAAGGAAGTCACATCCAGGCTTGGGGATGAGAAGGACCGGCTCAAGTGGCCATTTCTGCCAAGGGTGGTGGACGGGAACAGGAAACTGAGTGGCGGATAAAGATGAGTGATTCCGCTGGGTGGTGGACAACCAGCAACGGCCTGCGTGCTGCACGCTGGCGGCCCTGGTGAACAGCGCTGACCGTATCACGACGGGAATTCTGTGCGCGCGGGCGAGTGGACACGCCGTGAGCACCGCCAGCCTGAGACACTGAATGGTGTCTTCCAGAAAGTGCTGTCCACCTGGAGCCCCAGACCGCGGCCTTGTTTGGAAATAGCTCTTTACAGTTGTGATGAGTTAAGGATCGAGATGAGCTCATATGAGATCAGGGTGCGCCCTACAGCGGTCCAACTAGAGTATGTTTGTCAGAGACAAAAAGGCCACACGGAGACACAGAGGCCACGTGACGGCGGACACGAGTTATGTCCTCACGAACCCAGGACTCCCAGAGCCATCAGAAGCTGGAAGGGGCCGGGAAGGATTCTCCTCCAGCCTTGCTGTCCCCTGGAGGGAACATGGCCTTGCTGACCCCTGACTTCGGGGCCTCCAGAATTGGGACACTAAATATCTGTTGTTTTAAGCCACCAAATTGGTGTTGCTTAGTATGGTAGCCCGAGGAAATAAATATATTGCTAATGGTGGGATTTAAGCTAGTAGGGAGATTTATGGGGGGAATCCTAACACCTGTAACCCTTCCCCTCCCAACCCCCCTAACTACCCGTGATTATAGCGTAATTGATTTCTCTGGTGCATTATGCTAGGGTCCCGGTAGAGGGCGAGACTGAGGCACTCCTATGACGAATGAGCCAGAGGTCCTCCCCACCCCCACCTCCGTCAGCCCCCCACTCTTCTCCAGCCACACTGCTGACCACTCTGTCAACATTTTGAGGTGGCGAGTTCAGGTCACAGACCTGCTTCTGCCAAGACCTTAGGAACAGACATGACCAGGAGGAGGTTCATCTGTCCCCCTTGAGAACCCATCAGGACGCCGGCACAGCCGTCCTGATTTCAAACCCTCTGGCACCTGCCATGACCCAGTATCCTTGGGACGGTGCCTCTCATTAAAATGCGTACCTGCAACGTTAAACTCTCCGGCCAGTTGACTATTTGCAAATTGAAAATCTGTCCAAAGTGAACTCGGAAGTCTGCCCCGAGTGGCCGAGCTTCGGTCCTGGACACCTCCTTGTCGTTGAAGATCACCTTTAAATACACCGAGCGCCTCTTGACATCTTCCCTCCGTAAGACCTCCGCCCTGCAAAGTGAGACCGTTGGCAGGTGAGGTTCGTGTTCAGTGACCGAGGAGAACGGGAGAGCTTGGCAAATGGGCACTGATCAGGGCAAGAGGCACTGGGGGTCACGTTAGCCCTCGCGGAACCAGAATAACCTAGGTACTGCAGAGCTCCCTATACTACGGCGCTGTGAGCAGGAAAGAGGGGGTTTAAGAAGTGGGTCCAGCCCTGGCCAGTTTGGCTCAGCGGTTAGAGCATCAGCCTGCGGTCCAGAGAAACCCGGGTTTGGTTCCTGCTAAGGGCGCATGCCTTGGTTGCAGTTTGTCCCCGACCCTGTGGGTGGCAGCCACTTGATGTGTTCCTTTCACGTCGATGTTTCTCTCTCTCTCTCTCTCTCTGCCCCTCCCCCTCCCTCCCTCCTTCCCACTCTATCTGAACAATAAAATGGAAAAATGTCCTCAGGTGAGGATAAAAAAAAAAAAGAAGTGGGTCCATGCATCGCTGTTCAACAACTCCTTAACTTTTTTCAAACAAGCCTTACATTCGCATCGCATCCCAAAGTTTTAAGTAAACAGAAACATACAACTTGTTAAACAGAGCGAATTCAAACCATGAGGGGTAGGAGTGATTTATATTTGGGTGGGACATTTTATCCTAAAAATATAACAGCATATCATAGCAGAGAGGTCACGTCCGCTTCTCCAGGATGCAAGCTGGTTTTTAACACTTTCCGATGGTGAGTGACTGCAGTGTTGGAGAAATGTCTTCTATTTTTAAAGGTCATTTGAGTCCCAAGAAAAGGTATCCTTGGAAAGTATATTATTCTTAAAGCCAGGAAATTAAAAAAGTGTATCAAAATCTCCAAGCGTGGCCATTAATGTTACTATTGTGTGTGCGGAGATGCCCCAGATCTCCAGTTATTGGTTGTCAATAGCAACTCCAGCTTGTTAAGAAAAGGGCCCGACTTAATATCTGCAACACCTCTGGGGGGCGCTGCAAGGCCTCTGGAGCAGCTGGAACGAGGGCTGAGGAGAGACCTGCATGTCCGTGCTAGGGACGGGGCTGCGCTACCTGCGGACAGAAAACACACACTGAGGTTAGGTAGGGATTGATGAAAGCTATGTGGGCAGCACTTGTGAAGAGCGCCCCCAGCGGCCGCTTCCTATAACGGGCTCCTGGGAAGCCAGCAGGGACGCATTCACTGGGGAGGTGAACCCCGTGGAGTCCACCAAAACATGGACAAATACCGGCGATTCCTTGTGGTTCAACCAAATATATGTTTGCAGAGAGTTAATGATTCTCCCGATTGCATGGTGTCGGTCAGGAGATGTGCAGAACAGGCACACTTCACACAGTGCTGAGTACATGTGCACACGTGTAAGACTGACCGCGTGTCACATGTCAAGCTCACCTGGGACACTGGTCGTTGGGCGTCACGCTCCCCGCCAGGCTCAGCTCTGGGAGCAGCGTGGGCTCCCCAGGCCTCCTCCTGCTCCGGGCTGCTCTGTCCCGGACTTGCTGCTCCAGCGCTGCCCGGCTGGGGGGCTCCAGAGGGGTGGGTTTCACAGGGTCCTCCCCAGGAGACTGCTCCTGCAGCTCCTCATCAGGGCGTCCTTCGTCTGCTGGGCTCTTTTTCTTTTTCTTGGCCCTCTGTTGGGTAAGAGGCAACCTCAGGTCAAACGGAAATGTTGGGGTTTCATTTCAGAGCACAGTCTTCCGTCAGAGAGACCTGGATGCAAACCCAGCTCCCCCTCAGCTGTGTGCACTCAGGCGGGTTTCGAAGCCCCTGACCTCTCTGTGCCTCGTTTTTCTCATCCACAAACGATGGCACTCACAGGACACTCCTTCCAGGGCTGATGAAACGCGGTACCGCTGGAAAGCACGAACCACAGTGTGCGGCCCCTAGAAAGGCTTAAAAACGCTAGCTATTCATATGATCGTTAATGCAGATTCTCAAGGCCAAGGACACATCTTGAAATCACAGTGACAATGTGAGCAGGACGGGCATTGCAGGTCGCCCTCACCTATTCCTGCCCTTGGATTCCATTTGGCAGGTCACGTGTACAAAGCTATGTCGTTTTCTAGGGAGACCTGGAAGCATTACTGCCCTATATTCAATGGGATGCTGCATGTAAAGTGCTTGACATGTATGTGAGCAATTACTGTTATTACACGTTTGTCCACTCAAATAGCCACGGAGTGATAACAGAGAGCTCTCTGTGGAAAAGCTGGCTCTGGTTTCAGCAGCTCTGTGGCTTTTTAAACAAGTGCATTCGGCAGCCAGTGAATCCACTCATTCTTCTGTCCCCTGGCCAGGGGGCAGGGAGGGAGACAGAGCAGAGCCAGCAGGGGATGCCAGTCAGCTTGCCCAGTTTCCCTCCCTCTGCCTCATGGGCTGCCCTCCAGACCCTAACCCTCCCCAAGGTCAGCCCAGTTCAAGGCTGAGCCGCTGTGTACAAACCTGAGCTCTCTTCCAGTGCTGATACGCAGCTCTGTATTCTTCCATCTTCTGTTCGTACTCCTCGGAGTGCTCTTCCAACAACTCGCTTACTTCAGCTTGAATTTCTGCTTCATATGCATCTTCATCTGCTTTCTGGTCCACTTTTTCCCTTTAAAATAATGTACAGTATCTTAGTTATTTCTTGAAATTAATTTATAGAGTAGTAAGAGCAGCAAATACCTGAACCGGGCTTGCTTTGTGGCAGGGCCTCTTCTAAAAGCTCTGTACATTTAGCTCACAGTCCTGTGACGCAGAGACTTATCCTCTGCACTTTATAGATGAGGAGACAGAGGCACAGAGAGGTTAAGTAACTTGCCCAAGAACACACAGTGGTGGTGGAGGAGCTGGGATACAAGCACAATCTGTTTACTGCTAAGCAACAATGTGCTCTGAGTTAAACGACCCAGATGGCACATGGACATGGTGCCCATCCCTGTAGCGGCAGAAGTCTCACTGAAGTTATCTTATTAATTCTTCACATCTCTGAGGATCTGTTTTGTCATGTTGCTACCAAGTCCCTAAAACCACTTTTTTTTCTTTTTGTTAATCCTCACCGGAGGATATATTTTTCGCACTGGTTTTTAGAGAGAGTGGAAGAGAGGGAGTGAAAGAGAGAGAGTTTGCCAATCAACCTGAGGTTGAACAAATGTGAAGGTTTCCTTGCTCATCTTGCAGAGCACTGTTCATGGGCAGCATGACTCTGTAGGAGGGGGATGGCCACCCACCTGCACATCCCACCCAGCACATTTCACCTGTGCATCCCACCGAGCACATCCCACCCAGCACATCCCACCTGCACATCCCACCTGCACATCCCACCCAGCACATCCCACCTGCACATCCCACCTGCACATCCCACCCAGCATGTCCCACCCAGCACGTCCCACCTGCACATCCCACCTGCACATCCCACCTGCACATCCCACCTGCACATCCCACCTGCACGTCCACCTGCACATCCCACCTGCACATCCCACCTGCACATCCCACACAGCACGACTCACCTGCACATCCCACCCAGCACATCCCACCCAGCACATCCCACCTGCACATCCACCTGCACATCCCACCTGCACATCCACCTGCACATCCACCAGCACATCCCACCCAGCACGTCCCACCTGCACGTCCCACCTAGCGCGTCCCACCTGTACATCCCACCTGCACGTCCCACCTGCACGTCCCACCTGCACGTCCCACCTGCACGTCCCACCCAGCACGTCCCACCCAGCACATCCCACCTGCACATCCCACCTGCACATCCCACCTGCACGTCCCACCTGCATGTCCCACCCAGCACGTCCCACCTGCATGTCCCACCCAGCGCATCCCACCTGTACGTCCCACCCAGCACATCCCACCTACACATCCCACCAGCACATCCCACCAGCACATCCCACCTGCACGTCCCACCTGCACGTCCCACCTGCATGTCCCACCCGCACGTCCCACCCAGCACGTCCCACCCAGCACGTCCCACCCAGCGCATCCCACCCAGCACATCCCACCTGCACATCCCACCCTGCACGTCCCACCTGCACGTCCCACACAGCACGTCCCACCTGCACGTCCCACCTGCACGTCCCACCTGCACATCCCACCCAGCACATCCCACCCAGCACATCCCACCTGCACATCCCACACAGCACATCCCACCTGCACGTCCCACACAGCACGTCCCACACAGCACGTCCCACCTGCACATCCCACCCAGCACATCCCACCTGTACATCCCACCCAGCACATCCCACCCAGCACATCCCACCCAGCACATCCCACCTGCACATCCCACCTGCACGTCCCACCTGCACGTCCCACCCAGCACATCCCACCCAGCGCATCCCACCCAGCACATCCCACCGGCACATCCCACCGGCACATCCCACCTGCACATCCACCTGCACATCCCACCTGCACGTCCCACCTGCACATCCCACCCACACATCCCTCCCATCACATTCCACCCAGCACTTGGAGTTGTTCCCACTACTTATTGCCTGTGTGTATCTCCTAATGTGGTCAGGTGAGGTCAACGCCGTCTGGCCTCTTAAAGTTCCATGTCCCTTTTAGATAAACTTAGTCAAGTGCCTAGAGTTGACAAATATTTGCTATGTCCACATGACACCTGGTGCTTTAGCAATTAGCAGTCTCCCAAGGCACAAACACAGATTTCCAGGATTCTACCCCAGAAATCATGTTGGAAGCACAGTGGCACCTGAGATTTATAAAAGTTAGGGGAAATCTGGCTCAACATTTAGCTCCATCTCTGATATAAGGAAGCACTCGCTTTTCTCCTTGTTATTCAGAAACATGAATGAGCTGGTGGGAATTTAGATCCTTGTGCAGGAAAAAAATTATGCTGGTTCATAAGGTGGCTAGAGGAGCCAAGAATGTGAATGAGGGCCCTCCAGAGAATCTGGTAAGCAGCACTTTCGGGGAGGATCTGCAGTGTCACAAAAAGAAAGTTTGCAAGCTAGAGGTGACGTGAAGGGTAAATTTTCTATAAATTTTAGTGTGTCCTAAACTTGGAAGGAAAGAAGAAAAAAAATAATCTTGTAAATATTTACGTTCTGCTTCGAGGTTGGAGGGGTAGCCTGGGAGATGGAATTTAGAGGTAGAAACACTGGAATTTCTGGGAGACAGTCACAGTTTCTGCGGGAGCAACTATTTGAATTGGTTTTTCATGAACTAATACTCAATGAGCACACACTTAGTGGCAGGTGCTCTGTGGGGGACCAGCTGCCCAACAGCGACAAGGTCCCTGACCTCATGGAGCTCAGTCTTATATTTGTCCTGGGACCGGTAGGAGGTCTTCCCAGCCTCATGATGATCACAATGCCCCCAAACCACAATTCGCAGCTCTCTGTGGCTAAAACATGGTTGTTTCAAAGCAAAGCATCAGTTAATCGCCCACATTTTCCGCTTCCATGCTGGTGTACACTTAGTCAGAGGAAGCCACCAAGAAGGGACCGACACCATCAGAGATGCTCTTGAATTAACATACGGAACATGTCTATGCTGAGATGGTTGTGCTCTTAATCGTGGATCAAAGTCCAGTGAATAGGGATTCATCAGCATGAATGCCCTCTAAGCCTCAGGTGTCCCCACCCCGTACCCAGGTCAGTTCCCAGTGGATTAGAGATGGACGTGGAAGGTAGGGTGGTAAAGACTGCAGGAGACAACAGACAGACAATATAGACATCGGGGAGGGTTCGCCAGCAGAGACAAAAAGCACCAATCATAGAACAAATGACTAATGCATTCCTTTTAAAATTAAGAACTTCTATTCCTCAAAAAAGCAGCCGAAAGAGAGTAAAATGACAAGTTCAGCCCTGGCCGGTTTGGCTCAATGATTCGAGCATCGGCCTGCGGACCAAACAGTTGTGGGTTCAATTCTAGTCAAGGGCACGTACCTTGATTGCGGTTTGTTCCTGGCCCTGGTTGGGGTTGTGCGGGAGGCAGCCAGTCGATGTGTCTCTCTCTCATGTCGATGATTCTCTCTCTCTCCACTTCCCACTCTAGCTGAAGATAAATAAAAATATATCCTCTTGTGAAGATTACAAAAAAAAAATGCAACTTCAGATGGGAGAGCTATCAACAGCTCACCATCCACAAAGATCACATGAACAGGGTGTGCGCCGAACTCTTTCTTCATATTAAAGAAACAGATAAAAAGACACTCTGGTTAAAAATTAAAAAAACCCTTGAACAGACACTTCCTGGAAGAGGAAAGCAAGGTGACCTCGTCACGCACGCGAGAGGAAACCTGCAGCAGCCACCGCGAGACTGGCACAGTGTTCGTGTTGGACACCACCAGGCGGTGCGGGCGGTGCGGGTGTCACGGGCCTACGGGACTCCGGCCAGAGCACACAGCAGCTCGACCCCCTCACTCCATACTTCCGGAAGACCAAGGCACGTGTACCCTAAAAGACGTGTGCATGAAATTGTCCACAGAAGTGCTCTTTTTAAAAAAAATCCTCACCTGAGGATATGTTTCCATTTCTCTCCAGATGGAGTGGGAGGAGGGGGAGAGAGAGAGAGAGAGAGACACATCGACTGGTTGCCTCCTGCATGACCTCGACCAGGGCCGGGGACCAAACCACAACCGAGGTACGTGCCTTTGACTGGAATTGAACCCGAGACTCTTTGGTCCGTGGGCCGACAGTCTAACTGCAGAGCCGAACTGGCCAGGACAGAAGTGTTCTTTATAACAGTTGGAAATGGAATCAACTCAATGCCCACCAACAACCAAATGGACAAATTCTGTGATATTCATATAATGAAGAAGTATAAGGCAAATAAACCACAGCTGTGTGCCTTCGCGAGGCTGAATCTCACATGGTATTCAGGAGAGAAGCGAGTGTGTCTTCACTGAGGAGTCCGCACAACACGCTTGTATTTATGGAAAAGTAAAAAACTGTATGTTCCCAGGGATTATACCTCAATGGCAAACCTAGAAATACAATCGAGGAAACACTGATCATTAAAGTCCAGAAATTGATTACTTGGGGGCTGAGGGCCCGTCGGGGTTAGGAGCATGGGCTGCCGGCCCGGTCAAGCTCTGTTTTTGAACCTGGGGCCTGGTTACATGGTTATTCACTCGTAAGTATTTTGTAATTACTTTTTAAACTGTATCTATATTTTATACATTTTTTTTTCTCTATGCGTGACATAACCCAATAAAACAATTTTTGAAAAAAGCCTACTTTCAACAACGATGCGGTATCACCTCACACCTGCCAGAATGTCTGCCATCAACAAATCATCAAACAAGTGCTGGCGAGGGTGTGGAGAGAAGGGGACTCTAGTGCACTGCTGGTGGGAATGCAGCCTGGGGCAGCCACTATGGAAAACAGTATGGTGTTACCTCAAAAAGTTAAAAACTGACCTGCCATTTGACCCAGTGATCCCACTTCTAGGAATATATCTTAAGAAGCCTGAAACACCAATGAGAAAGAATATATGCATCCCTATGTTCATAGCAGCACTATATATAATTGCTAAGATCTGGAAACAGCCCAAGTGTCCATCAATAGATGAGTGGATAAAAAAGCTGTGGTACATATACACAATGGAATACTATGCAGCTGTAAGAAACAGAGATCTCTTATCCGTTGAGGCAACATGGAGACCTGGAGAGTATTATCCTAAGTGAAACAAGCTAAGCAGAGAAAGACAAATATCACATGATCTCACTTATTTATGGAATATAATGAACAAAACAAGCTGATAACCAAAATAGACCCAGAGACATAGAAGTAGGGTACAGACGGACAAATCTCAAAAAAGGGGTGGGGTGGGAGGGAAGAGATAAACCACAGAACTTATATGCATGCATGTATAACCATGGACATAGACAACAATGCTGGGGTTGGGGCAAGTGGGGGCGGGGGTGATTGGGAGGAGGGTGTCAATGGGGGAAAAAGGAGAAACATCTGTAACAAAAATTAATTAATAAAAAAAATTAAAAATCAAAAAAAAGAAAAAAACCTACTTTCTCAAAACAAGTTTCAAGGGTGTATTTGTAAATCTCTGGAACTCTCGAAGGGACTTCATTTCTTTCCAAACTTTTATGATGGTCTTAAGCAACATTCGGTCTTTCTCTTGTTCAGCGTCACGGAGTATCCTTGTTTGCCTACAAGATATAATATATGAATATATATATAGATATATAGATGTATCTATACATTTAGGTATGTTTGCAAATTAAAAAAAAACAAATAGTGCTATAGTGTTTGTACATTTAATGTAAGCGCTATAATATTTCTTAAGTACTAGAAAACCAAGACTATGAATGCAAATTTGAAGACAATAGGATGTTGATCTGTTTTGAGAGGTTGATTTTGTTTTTGCTAGGTGAATCTGACTTCAACTCAACTCAATTACCTTTTAAAATTATTACTGACAAAAAGTACTTTTAAATAAATTGCCACCACTGACACCTTGAAATTGAAGGGCCCCGTAAATGCGGTTCTCAGGGGCTCAATTATTGAAAACACCGGGGACTTTGCTGCTGTCCCAGCTAACAACAAATGTATTTAAGTCCGAGCTAACATAAAGGTTCGCCCGAGGAGACGAAACGATGTCCAGCGTTCCTTGGCCAGTTTTCAGTGCCGATCAGTCATGCTGCCTGGTTTGAAGAGCACCCTTGGAAAAGGTCTCCATCTTCATTTCCACGATTTCAGGTGTTTGGCAATGATCTAATAACGCCCTACTTTAAGCCCTCTCTATGAATGATAGCCCAATCCAGAACCCCAAAGTGTTCTGTCATTGATTAACCAATTAGACAATTTTATTGTTTTTGTTCTTGAGCAAATACCCGGCATCATGCTGGGGGATTTGGAAGTGTCTAGGTCTAGGAGATCGGAGGTGCGTCTCGCGGGAGGGTTAGCTCGGAGACAGACACATCGATACACGACTATGGGGTACAATGTGAACCTGGCTTACGGGGTTCCGTGAGTGAGCACCTCCTGAGCTCCAGAAGGCAGGCCTGGGCCTGGAGGGGGCACCTGTAATGGCCAAGCCTGTGCAGATGGTACAGAGACGCCCAGAGGCTGGCCTTCTAATCATTCGACCTGCGCTGTGGGGAAGGGAGATGACGGCCAGTCAGCGGTCGGGTGGCCAAGGGCCTCTCTGCAGACCTGGGAAAGCAATGAAGCGGAGAACTCGACGCAGAAGCACTCTTCCTGAGGAGCAGTGAAGCACTGTGGCCCAGGGCACAGATGTGGAACCAGACTGCCCAGGTTTAGATCCCGGTTCTATCCTTTATCGGCTGGCATGTCTTTCCTGTCCACAGGTACCACACGTGTGCACCCAGGACACAAGAGTACTGTTTCCGCTGTTCTGTAGGTTTAGTTCACTGTGTCACACAGCAAGCGTCCTCGTATGCCTGGATTTTAAAATTCAACACTGTTTTATTCCTATCGATACATGAAGATCTAATTCAGTCATTTTAACCATGGTGCAGACATTCTGGGTAACTCTAGCAGAGGTGTTCATTGCTATGGGCTTATTTCCAGTTTCTGATTTTGTAAATGATGCTGTGCCATCCTTGCACGTGCCTCCGGGTGCACGTGGTTCCGTGGCGTGCCGGTACCTGGAGCGGCATCGCTGGGTCCTAGCGGACGGGCATTTCAACACTTTGTCCATGGCCAGGTTGTTCCCTGAAGTGGTAGCTGTAGCAACATTTGTTTACACCAGCAGAGTGTGTGAGTCACAGCATCCTACATCCGCGTTCTTCTACTGGGCTTCCAATTCGGTGTAAATATGATGGATACATCTCATTGCTTCTCTTGGCTTCATTTCGCATGTATTCAGTGCATGCAGAAAGACTGAAAAAGTGAGCTCTCAACAAGTACACATAAAAGAGGAAACAAAAAGCAGAGTTTACAATTACAGACTTTACTCACCGAATTTCAGATTTATACTCGTTGATGGCTTTTTGGGTTATGTCAACAGACCTATGAGTTTCTGCTGGATCAAGGCCCATTTGAACAGCATTTCTCAAAGCTTGGAGCTTAAAAAGACATGGATACATGTTTTCAGTTAGATGCTCCCCTCCCCACTGCAGGTGAAGTGTTTGGACCCACCCACAAGGTGACCCACGGGACCCATTCTGTGCATGGATGGCCAAGCGTCCAGCTGTCTGCAGGCTTTCACTAAAATGAACTTTAACAAAGAACTATTTCGTCCATTCTCTTGAAAAAAGGAATACTAAAAAACATTGTGCCTCTGTTCTTGTTCTGTGGCCCAGATAATCAAGGGGCTCATGGGAAATGTCACTTTTATGTGCGTGTTTCAGGAACAAATTTTCTTTTAAGGCTAAAAGTGGATCTTTCTGGGTCTTGGACATACAGTCATATTCTTGTGATGTGAAGAGATCATAAAATAATAGACTCATAAAAGGAGGTATCGTGGAGTTTTCTCTTTTGGGGGACAGGAAGTTTTAACATCAGCGTATAAGACTAAAATTGCCTGTAGTCAAAATCATTCATGAAAATTCTACGGGATAGGATGACATTGGTAACCAATCCAGGACCAGTAGCATCTGTTGAAACTGACTTGTGTTTAGGTGCCACGCTATGGGAAATTACACATACAAACGAGAATGTCTCTAAGGACAGGGCGAGTCTCAAGCCTTGAACAGCTCAGCACCTGAGGTCCCATAAGCAAGACACAGCCAAGAATCTTCCCTCTAGTACCCACTCCGGGTAGGTGAGATCACGTGCACTGTTTGCACAAATCTTTCTCTTTGAGCCACTTGTACATTACACGTCACATCCTTCCCTTTGCCTCTAGGTTCGACAACATATCATACGCCCTAGAATAAGGGACCACGTGAGAGAGGCACATGAATTTTCTGCTGGAGGTATTTCTGTTGTTGAGGCTCATCAGCAAAACCAACCCCACCAACAATAAATGTGGAGACTGTACCTTATCGGTGAGAAATTTTGCTTTGTTTCTCTGGCGTCTTGCAAGGTACTGGTCATATAATTGGGCCAGCTTGGCTGCCAAGACATGCTCTCGGCTAAAACAGGGGTGATGAGTAAAGATTAACCCTGAAATATCAATGTCCAGCTGGAAATTTCCAGGGTCTCCAGATCCAATCACCTGTTGACTTCTGTGCACATACCTGACCGCCTGCCAAAGAGAGCAGAGTGTAGGGGAACACGGTTACAGCATGTCCCAGGTAATGATCTAGGGGGCAGTGGGAACACAGTCAGAAGCAATACACCTCCTACCCTGGTCACACAGAAAAATGACGCTCCGTGCTGTTTCCTGGCGGTGTTAGGGGCCTGCTCTTTTTCTGCATACGTAAAAGGTAAAATGAAAGAGTGAGAAAGGGCACCATTTTAATCTGGTCTCCAAGGTCTTTTAGATGTTCTCTCTCCCAAGTCAGTTCCAATCTTTGTCCTGCAGACTGTCCTGTTTCGTAGGTTTTGTTGCTGTGACCTGGACATTCTATTTACAAGAGAAGCATAGATTGCGGTCCATCCTGATCATTACTGGGTTCACAGGTATACCTTCCACGTACAAAGTAACAGCAGAAGAGGGAGATGGAGCAGCTGAGTGTGTGGGAAACAGGAAAAGACATTTCCACTGGGATCAGACACTTCCTAGATCACTTGGTGTAGAGCGTCAGATATACCTTCCTGTGTTTATTCCATAACATCTTTAAGAGCTACCACATCGATCACTACTGCTTTTGTGGGCATTTAGGTTTGGAGGTGGGAGGTCCAAGGTGGAGAGACCTTTCCGATTTTGTGTCTCCGTTTTTATGTAGACACTGACTGTGATCGGAACGTGGGCTTTGAGACACGGGATCATGGGTGTACCTTCCACGAGCTCAATCCTCCCTTTTGCAGAAGGGAGCTTTCGAAGCTACTTATGTTATCTGGAAAATGATAATATAAGATTACGTGACATGAATGTATGATTTACAAGTTGTGAGGCTAAAGGGAAGGTGTAAGAAGTGAGAACTGAAGCATCTATCCTTCATAGACTGTGGGCAATGTCTCCACGTAATTCCTCTTCATGGCACCACGTAGATGCCGAACGGGGGCCACAGCCTTGGGTTCCGGCTCCGGCTCTAATGTAAACTTTCTTTGGAACCTCAGGCAGGTCGCTACACATCTCTGAGCCCCTGGGAGGCTGAGGAAGAGACTCAGTTAGCATCTTGTAGGTCACTAGGCGTCACACACCTCGCCTCACACACACCATCTCACTGGCTCCACAAAGATGAACGATGTCTACGATGTGGTGGGCCTGTCTCCAGGCAGCCACAGAGTGAGACAGAGGCCTAGACCTGGTTTATAACACAAGGCAGGAAGGGCAAGGCCTGGGGTGTGCAGGAGGAGGCTGGGGAACCCAGCAGAGAGGACTCCAGAACCCCATGACTGTCAGATTCTAACATTCTCCCTATCAGACTAAGAACAGAAAAGGGAGGTCCAGATGTGTGTGTGTGTGTGTGTGTGTGTGTGTACACACATGCAAATATGTACAGAAATGTACTCCCAGTGGTTATATAGTGTGATCTACTGTTCAGTTACTATTAGTCATTGAAATAGCACAGGTATCTGCACTTGAGCAAAGCATATTTAGGGTGTCCCAAAAAACTGTTTACACAACTTTGCATAATTATAAAGCCAGTGTTTATTAAAATGCATTTCATTTGCAAAATGTAATAGAATCTACAGACACCCTGTATACATTTTTTTGGGACACTGTACTTGTGAGTCTTCTTTTACCAGTAAATTTGTCATAGTTTTGTGTTGCTGGCTGTTTGTACTGGTAAGAATATATGAGTTTATTTCTTTTTAGCCAAACTTTGCCCTCCCCCCAGATTAGTAGACTATTAATGTATGTTTAGGACTTATGATTTCCTGCAAGGTTTCAATAGAATGCATCCTGCATTTATTTTAATAAACTAACAAGTTTTCTCCTATAAAATAGCACTCGGTCTGTCTTTAATGAGAAGACTGGTAGATTTTTCTGTTGTTTTTTTTAAAAGTCCTTGTAGCCCTGGCCGGTTTGGCTCAGCAGTTGGAGCATCGGCCTGTGGACCAGAGAGTCCCAGGTTCGGTTCCCACTAGGGGCATGTACCAAAAAAAAAAAAAAAAAAAGCCCTTATAAAGCATAATGCGTTTACTGGTATAGTAAACTTGAAGGAAAGAAGTGACTATGTCTCAGTCCCTTCTGCAATATGCTGAATTGAATCTCCACTTGGGCAACAGTCCATCAATATTCTGTACCTCATGAAAGCGCTAGTTCTGGTCATTACGATCCTCACAGGTTAGACGGCAACAGTGGTAGCCCATTTCTTTCCTCTTTTATTCCAGTTGGAGTATTCAGTTATCGCCTGCATTCATGGTAGAAGCTGTCACCCTGCACGTGGTCATGATGTGTTTTGTGAGCACCCAGACTACCTGGATTACTTAAAAAATTCCTACCTTGCACAGACTGACATCCCTCAGATGAGGGGCTGGTGGGGGATGGGAAGAGATAAACCACAGAACTTATATGCATGTATGCATAACCAATGGACATGAACAACAAAGCCGGGGACGGGGTGGGGGGGGGAGGAGGGTGTCAATGGGGTAAAAAAGGAGAAACATCTGTAACAAAAATAAATAAATAAATAAAAGGTTAACTGGCAAAAAAATAAATAAATTTCTACCTTGCCCGGCTGGTGTGGCTCAGTCGTTGAGCATCGACCCATGTACCAAGAGGTCGCGGGTTCAATTCCCAGTCAGGACACACGCCCAGGTTGTGGGACCCATCCCCAGTGGGGGACATGCAGGAGGTAGCCAATTAATGTTCTCTCTCATCGGCATTTCTATCTCTCTCTCCCTCTAAAATCAATGAAGAAAAAAAAAATTTTTTTAATTCCCACCTCACTGCCTGGCCGGTGTGGCTCAGTGGATTGAGTGTGTCCCATGAACTGAGAGGTCCGGGTTCTATTCCTGGTCAGGGCACATGCTCGGGATGTGAGCTCGGTCCCCAGTAGGGGGCGTGCAGGGGCCGCCGATGAATGAATCTCTCTCTTGTCAATGTTTCTATCTCTCTCTCCCTTCCTCTCTCTCCAAAAAAAATCAACAAAAACATATTTTAAAAAATCCCTTCTCACAAAGACATGTACAACTGAACTTCATTCCAGACTTAAAGGAACATCCTCCCTAACCGCTTCACTCATGCTGCTTCCTACCTTGCCTTTCACCTGGGTCACGAGACCACTCGGGCGTGGCTCTCAGGTTCCGTCCTGTACTCCTCTCGGTGAGTGGGGAACGTGGGTAGCACAGTTTAATTACTTAAAATGTGCCCTGAGCACCTGTACTGTGTGTCTCCTTCCCCAGATCAGCATGAGCCCACGTTCAGGTGGTTGTTGGTGGTCTCTGCCTGAAGCTCAGCTCAACTAAATAAAAATAGCTTCCAGGTCATTGGGTAAGACTGCTCAAAAGACCCCAACTCTCTTCCCAATGGGGAGAACGACCCCCTGGTTTGTTGTCTTTCTTTTGTTATAGTTGTTTACATATGTATACAAGAGAGAGAGAGAGAGAGAGAGAGAGAGAGAGAGAGAGAGAGAGAGAAAACTATCATGAAAATAGTAGCTACAATTCCTCCCAAGAATAAATAACATTTATAGGGCATATTATTTTAATAGATTTAATTCTTCAGTGTTTAACTAAAAACCAATACTACCAGGGATGTGCATACAGACCATCTGCTGATGTTCTCACGTGCAGAGATGCATGCCAAGGGAGAGAACAAAAATTCAAGTGGCATGGAAAAAGAATAATCATTGGTGGAATTAAAATACAAGTTTCATATTTGCCCTGGGAAAATAGTAGCTACAATATCTGAATTCAGCCCAGACCCTGCAGGAGACTATAGCCATTGTTTTTGTCTTCCCTGGGAATCTTTCTCATTCTCCATTTCCTGACCATGTCTCCAGGACATGAGGGAGGGCGGGCATATGTCCCAGTTACAACTGACCCGTTTGCCCTTGATAGTAATCATGTGGACCTTGGGGGAAATTTCGATGCTTTGTCTCTGGAGTTGCTAAGCTTAGGTTATGAAGGGCCATGCCCCTCACACGGGGAGAAGTCTGGCCTTTGCAATCGGAGAGGAGGAGGCCAGTCAACACCCAAGAACCAGAGAAAAGAGATGGATAGAGACCTGCTTACAGGCCCTCCTTCCGTTTATTTTTTATTATTTTTTAAAAATTGATTTTAGAGAGGGAGGAAGAGAGAGGGAGAGAGAGAGAGAGACAGACAGACAGACATCGGTGCTCCAACCAACTGAGCCACACCAGCCAGGGCTGTCCTTCAATGTAATGATTTATGTCCAGACCCCAAACTTGTAAGCTATTTTGAAAAGGGGAGGCTCCTTCACATACAACCCCAGAGATGCCAAGTACAGTAACTGTGTAGAGTGGGGTATTGGAGCCAATTAGCTCATCCATCTCTGGGGAAGACATCAGCGCCTTTGGATTTCTCCTTTCTCTGACTTCTCTGACTCTGTGATGCTGGACAACTAGCCCTCGGAGTGGGACTGTTCTCTTCCTCTACTTTCTTATTTCTGGCCACAAGCTGTGATGATCTCCGAGCTCAAAAGTACTAGGAGGGAACCGCTGTGCTTCTCCCCCCTCTGCCATGCCCACAGGCTAGAGGGAAGGAAGAAGTGTCTGATTGGCAAGTCAGGTGGAGCCCAAGACCCATCGGTTCAGGTCCTCTGCTGGGCAAGGGCACCGTGGTCCCTGGCTGTCCTTCCTTAGCTCTCTGCTGGACAGCCAGCTCCCTGGCCCCGTGCTGCCCTGGCACTTCATGTCTTAGCCCACAATTCTCTGGCTGTTCAGCTTGTGCCCAGACAGGGAACACAGCTCATGGGAGGTGGAGCAGGGAGACTATTTGGTCCTGGTTCCAGGTGGCATTCCACCATCCCATGCCACCCTCAGACGCAGCAGCTGCATCTTCTCCGAGTCCTGTGCCTTTCCAATGCGTTCAGAACTTCTCAAGGAGACAGATGAGAACCACTGGTTCCAATACCCCACCCTCCACAGCAATTATACTTCCATTTTCTAATTTAGTGCTTCATTATATCCAAGTTAAATGCTGCAGTGGATGGAGAGATGAAGAGAAAGACTGATGGGTTATCAGAGAGATGTATAAACTGATACAGTCTTGATCACTAATTATACCATGTATCTTTGTCATGTTAGCAAATCAATGATGAATCCCCCATGGACTGGAATGGAAGTTTATGCTTAATTTGTAATCTACTCCCAGGATCACATTTCTGCACAAAGTAGCCACTCATCAATACTTGTCTATAAGTAACAATGTTTTATCAAAATTCACAGTTTAAAAAATGGCAAACATATACATCATCTCAATACACAAGGTGATCCCATGCAGTAGGGAAGATGATTATTATTTTTCAGTGAGGGAAACAGGTCCGGAGAGGTATAGGGACCCACCCAAAGCCACAAGCTTGTTACCAGAACACCCGACTCTGAGCAGGTTCTCGGGCTGGAGTGTCTTCTCCGTTCATCACCCTCTTTATAGAATGACCATTATGTCCCCTCGTTCTGTTTTACTTTCTCAGTGGAAATGTTACAAATTTATACCAACACAGGTTTCTGAAGGAGGTGGTCCTTGCTCGATACTTCAGACACACAAGGGCAATACAATTAAACACGGAGACAAGCAACTCTGTCCACATAACACTAGCCAGCTCTTACTGAGCTCCGTTCTAAGCATGTCTATATATTTTCTCAACCAATTGTGCAATGATTCTAGCAGATACATGTTATTATTATGCCCATTTTCCAGATGAAGAAATTGCGATAGAGAGATCCAGGGCCGAGGAAGCCCTCCTGTGGAGTTTAGTGCCAGGAAAGATAATAAATAGGATTTGCAATGCCCAGCCGGTGTGGCTCAGTGGTTGAGTGTCAACCCTTGCACCAAGAGGTTGCCAGTTGGATTTCCAGTCAGGGTACATGCCCAGGTTATGGCCCCAATCACCAGGGGGCACGCAGGAGGCGGACAATCAATGTTCTCTCTCATCGAGGTCTCTATCTCTATCTCCTTTTCCCTTTGTGTGTGTGTGTGTGTGTGTGTGTGTGTGTGTGTGTCTCAAATCAATAAAGGGGGAAAAAAAGGACTACTAACCTAGATATGCAAATAAGACATTGACTCAGCAATTCCCACCAGGGGAGCTCACTCCTGTTTAGGAAGGGATCGGGTGAGCACATTGGACTCACTTGTAACCATGCCTGCTGCCTGTTCTTTCTGTGAGTTACTTAAACAGTCAATCCAAGAAGAATGTTACAATCTCAGCACTCCAGGTGATTCAAGAAGCAGAGCCCTTTCAAGCAAATGCACGTATTAAAGATGGGGGGGGGGGGTTACCTTTCTATACAGCGTTTCAAGTTCTGCTGTAACGTCTTGCCCCTGTGCCAAGGTTGGTGGCCTGGAAAAGAAGGGCTTGATGGGGTTTGGCAGCGCTAGGATCTGGCCATCATCTCCAAACCACTTCCTGTCCTGGGGATCAAGCAGAGGGAGGGACGTTTGTTTCTAACTGGACAGAAAGGGTTTACAAAATAAACACTGGTAGGGAGAGTCTGTGTCCACATACACATCTCAAGGACCGTCCTCCTTTGCCAGCATGTCTCCTCAAGTCCTGTTTCCATTAGAAATTCAGTCTCCATGAATGCCCCCACAGTCCTCACCACCCCCGTGAGCTTTAGAAAAAGCTGAAATAATTGCTGTGAAAATGTATTCTATTCATTAAAAATTTAAGAAAAAAAAAAAAAAGCACAGGAGGAAAACAATTGAGAACATTCTGTCTTTGGACCATCAAACATTTCTGTGAATTGGGAAAAGGTTGCCAACGTCTGATGTACTCCTAGGAGTCCAAACCCAGTGGCAGAGGATGGATTTGAGCAGGGAGAGTTTGTGCCCTTTGAGTTCACTAAACATGCTGAGAGACAGATTTAAAAACATTAAACAGCTGTGTGCGGACAAAGGCGCAGTGATTGCCCCACCAGGAAACCGAACCGAGGGCGACCCGGGAGCCGGGCGTGTGCTTACAGGCTCCTGCACGAGCAGTCTGTTCTCCGCGATGTTCCGAGCGGCGCGCGGCACCCCCGGCCGGGCTCCCATGTACAGGCCCTCGTCCTCCAGGAATCTGGGCTGCACGTTCTCGGGAAGCTTCTTATACGCAGGCACTGGACAGTTCACAAGTAAACACAGCAGAGCGGTGAATTAAAGCAGCCCCCCCTCCCCCAAAGGTTGTTTCTGTTCTGGGACAATGCACATTTTCCAAATTAATTTCTAGCAGCAGAACGAAGGAGAAGACGAATGTGTTTACGTGCAGTGTCATGTTGTAGAATGATGAAAGTAATTCAATGCCTGTCACCAGCGGGCAGACTGGGGAGTGGGGTGTTCTACTCAACACTTGCTTCACTGCTCGTTAGCAGAATAAATCTGGGCAGGCACTTCATAAAAAAATGTTTTTAATTGATTTGAGAGAGAGAGAAAGGGAGAGAGAGAGAGAGATTTGTTGTTCCAGTTATTGTTGAATCCATTGGTTGATTCTTGTATGTGCCCAGACCAGAGATCGAAAGCGAAATCTAGGGTATCTTGACCAGGCTCCTGTCGGGGTGGAGGGCAGAGAGAGAGAGGGGGGACTCTCGCCTCAGCCTGCAGGGACTGAGGCGGGTCGCAAAACCCCTCTCCCGGGTTTCGGCACCAGATGTAAGGTAGCCAGGCACCGCCGGTGGGAGGTGGGAAGAAACCAGAGAGCCAAACAGCCGAATAAGCAGAAATCAGGCTTTATTGGGTACACTCCGGGCGGGTTCACAGACTCGGGGGGTCGAGTCCGAGAAGCCGCGCCCGATGCTGGGGTTTGTGATTTTTATATCTGCGCCTGTGGCAGCGGGAACTTGTTGTTAGGTTAGGTCCTGAGGGGCTACGCATGGGGGCCCCTGGAATGTGAGTCTATTGTCCCGGGGCAAACGGTTCCTGGACTAGGACAGGAGAATGGGACAGGAGTTGATCTATGAGTTTGGGGCAAACAGTTCCTGAAACAGGGAGGGAGTTTAGGTTGGGTAAGCGAGGTAACGGCTGAGCAGTTTGCCTGGTGCCAGTTCCCAGGCTCTCGGACAGCTCCAACTAACTGAGCTACCAGGCACTTCCTGAACTCTCCTCCTGCACGAATAAACGATGCTAATATCCATTTCGCTGGGTTCTTGAGAGAGTTCAGTGAGGTAAATATGAGGAAGTGCTTTGTACGTCAGCATGCTTTGCCTGTGAGTGAGTGACCAGCCCTCACGCATTCCCCAGTCTTTGGTTCATTCAGTGTGGACAAAAAGGGGCCCCGTGCTAACCTGACCAGCTCAGGGAGGCCTGTGTGGCGGCCTTGCAAACTCACAAGACCTGAAGTAACCACAAAGGGTGGTCTGAAATGTAAACTTTTTAACTAAAAGCAGTTTATGGCAGGTAGTCCTGTCCTAGGCCGGCATCTTCCTTGACAAAGGTCAATTGTCACCTTAACGGAGCCTAGTCTTTTTGCATCTCAGATAACATACCTTTGGCAGGTGGGGTAACTTCCTTTTATCCAGAGAGCCCTCAGGGCACAACCTCTGCCATAACCCCCCCCATTGTTATATTATCATGTTAATTGTGACTGTGGACTATCCTGTTTGTAAAAGAAGGACCTGTCAATCAGTGTACTTTTTATCCAATCCCAGAGATTTCCCCGCTTTGCTTTCTCCCACCTCCCTAATCTGCCACCAATGGGTTTCCTGTCCATTTACGTCTTCTCTTTTTGACTGTAACATATAAACTCAGGCGCAAAACTGCCCTTCTCCGGAACATTATCTCAATCTATTAAGGTCTTGCTTTCTCCGGAACATTATCTCAATCTATTAAGGTCTTGCTTCCTGGCATTTGTCAACAATGTGGCTCAAGTAAACTCACAAAATTCTTCACCGATTTGAATGTTTCTTATGTTGACAACAAAACAAATCTTTGCTGAGGGCCTCACTGTGCTGAGGGGAGTGTCAGGCAGCAAGTGTACCCCGGGTCTTCAGATGGTCATTTCAGAGAGCGGTGAGTGCGGTAGGAAAATGCATGGGGGTGGGGGGGTGGGGGTGGGAACTGAGGGCAGGGGGTGGGGTGTGGCTGGGAACTGAGGGCAGGGGGCGAGGGTGATGGGGCGGGGCTGGGAACTGAGGGCAGGGGGCGGGGCGGGGGAATAAACCTTCTCAGCGCCCTGAAGCAAGGCTCCTGTGCACTGAGCAGGAAGGAGCCAGTGGCGGGACAGGTAAGTGTATCCACCCAAGGGAATGGCGTGTTTGGGAACAGAAACATCCAGAATGCCGGTGTAGTGAGCAGGGGCAGCACCCGGAGAGGAAGCTCCAGGTGGGCGGGATGGGGAGCAAGGAGAGCCTGAGGTCACAGAGGAGCTGGATTCCCCGGGCCTCCTTGCTGGTGGGGGTGGGGGAGGGTTGTCCCCAGCACATTTTCATGCAAAAAAAGACACCTGAAACTGACATAATATTGAATGTCAACTGTAATTAAAAGGCAAAAAAATAAAAATAAAAACATTTTAACAGAGGCGCTCTATGAACTGCTGTTAAAAGGCAGAAGGGGAATTTAGCCTAAACAGAACCAGGCCCGTCACATCTCCAGCTGGCACAGACCGCGGAGGGCATGTGGGTCAAAGGGCACGTTCCACAGAAGGAACCCTTTTCCCATTGGAAAAAACGAACTCTTCCTCGGGGAAACTGAAAAAATAAAAACATAAAAAAATATAGAAAGCCCATCGGGCTTGCGGCTGCGCAGAGGGGGTAGAGGAGAAATGGGGGCCAGCAGGCAGGGCCCTGAGAAAGGCTCATCTCGTCCCCGGCGCAAAGCCAGTGCAGAGCAAAACGACTTTATTGCGAGCACCTGGGTGCAGGCGGGCTGAGTCTCGAAGCCTGGGATCACATGATATTATGTCTCTTTGGGGTCTTAGGGAAGCAGACTGAAGGTGCCCAGCGACCGACGCCCCGACTGTCATCTTGAGCTCCGAGCCTCGGGTGACAGATGGTGGCAGGTAGGCCAATTTCATTTTTCACTGATACCGGGCAACCTGCTCTGCCCTCCCCGAGTTCAGGGGACCTCTTCAGTGCTCTGGGGTTTCGGTTGTGGTGTTATAACTCAGTGCCATTGACCTAAACTCCCAGAGGCCTTCACGACAACCAAAGGGGTTGTCAGTTACTGAAGTTCATCTACTGAAGAACATTCTTCACTAACTAACCCCTGAGTAATCGCTAACCCCGGGGTAATAACTAACCCTTGAGTAATCCTGGGCTCGGCGCCAGGAATAATGTATTGAAAACATCTTGACCTTTGAGATGTCTGGGAAACTGAGTAACAGGTAATTAACTGACCACTAAATTCCGCTTCTGTAACATGCTTGCTTACACGTAGCACCCCCCCTTACAACATCCTATAAAAAGGAGCCATTTTAGCTCTCCGGGGCCGCAGTTACTCCTGTGTGGGACATACTGCAGGTGCCTACGGACTTAGCTCAATAAACTCCTTTTGTTAAACCCCATCTCGGCGTCTGAGTTTGGTCGATCTCCTGGGTTACGACATTTGGAGGCCCCAGCGAGATCACCTCGAGGTCCCCCTCTAAGAGGGGTCGACCTCCTCAGGCACAAGGCGAGGTGCCTCCATTCTCGCCTCTACAAATTTGATCTGACTGCGGCCAGATTCGGCTTAGGGTCTCCGCGCCACGTGGTCTTGGTAAGTGGATCGATCCATTTGTTTCTTGTGTCTTTGGCTCCGGAGCATTTGGCGAGGCTGTACAGGCGGGACGCCGCGCACTGTCTGCCTCTAATCAGAGTCAGGACGACGACTTCTGATTTTGGAAGCCTCGGTGCTTCACTTTGAAGGTGTGTGTGTTCTGTGAGGGTGTGAGACTAGTCTCAGTGATTGTTCTTGTTTGTCTTCTGATTTCGTGTTCTTGTATGTGCAGCCTCTCTTTCTGCTCTAACTGTTTCACTCTCAGGAGAGACGCCATGGGCCAAGGACCATCCAGGACACCGACCCCCCTTGAATGTCTGCTCTCTAACTTTTCCGATTTTCTCCAAAGGTCCTGTAATTACGGGAAGCCAGCAGACCCCGGCTTCCTGAGGACGCTATGTGAACTAGAGTGGCCAGCCTTTGGGGTGGAATGGCCCTCGGAGGGGAGTTTTGACCCTAACCTCCTCTTCGCCGTGCGTTCGGTTGTCTATAGGGCCCTCACCCAGATCAACGGGTATATATAGATGTCTGGATTGACATAGTAGTAGACAAGCCTCCCTAGATAACAAAATGTGGAAGGGAGGAGCCCCAAAAGGGAATGAAAGCTAAGGTAGGAAAGCATACCATCATGGTTGCAGCCCCAAAGGAACGACCGCGGGGGCAACCAAGGAGAGCCAACCAGAATCCCCTGGGAAAGCACTCAAACCCCGGTTATATCCAGGGGATCCTGAGGAATCGCTCCTGGAAGTAATGACGCCCCCGCCCTATGCAGGAAACGCCTCGGGCGGGAAGGCGACGGCACCCTCAGACGAGCCTCAGGCAAGAGCCCCAGGCCCGGCTGACAACGCCAGACTTTTGAGTCCCTCACATACACGAGACGGCACCCCTTATCAACCGGCCCGGGAACCGGACACCTCAGTCCCAATGCTCCCATTACGAGAGGTGCCCGCTGCGCCCGGCACTACGGACGGGCCCAGCGTGTATGATCTATGTCCCTTTTTCAACTAGCGATTTATATAATTGGAAACAACAAAACCCTCCTTTCTCGGAGCAACCACCAGCTCTGATAAGTTTATTGGAGTCTGTATTCCGGACCCACCGACCCACTTGGGACGATTGTCAACAGATCTTACAAACTTTGTTCACCTCGGAGGAGAGGGAGAGGATATGCGCCGAGGCAGTTAAGGCTGTGGTCGGGGATGACGCTGGCCCCGAGGGCTTAGATGATGAACTGCCTCAACGACCCCCAAATGGGATCCTGGGAAGGGGATGCAGAGGTTACGCACTTATCACCGAAACCTCCTCAGGGGTCTAAGGGGCGCTGCTAAGAAACCCACCAATTTAGCAAAAGTAGCAGCCACTATGCAAGGGAAGGACGAATCTCCCACGGCCTTTTTAGAAAGATTATTAGAGGCCTACAGAACTTATACCC